AGAGGCAAATTAGGGTTCAGGTGGGAAGGGGACTCGGTCGCAGCGGAAGAGCGGGCTAGGGCGACGGGCCAGGGCGTAGGGTAGGGCGACGGGCTAGGGCGTAGGGTAGGGCGACGGGCCAGGGCGTAGGGTAGGGCGACGGGCCAGGGCGTAGGGTAGGGCGACGGGCCAGGGCGTAGGGTAGGGCGACGGGCCAGGGCGTAGGGTAGGGCGACGGGCCAGGGCGTAGGGTAGGGCGACGGGCCAGGGCGTAGGGACGGGACAGGGCGACGCGAGGGGGCAGGGCGGCGCGATGGGGCAGGGTGACGGGACGGGGCAGGGCGACGCGACGGGGCAGGGCGACGCGACGGGGCAGGGTGACGGGACGGGGCAGGGCGACGCGACGGGGCAGGGCGACGGGACGGGGCAGGGCGACGCGACGGGGCAGGGCGACGGGACGGGGCAGGGTGACGGGACGGGGCAGGGCGACGCGACGGGGCAGGGCGACGGGACGGGGCATGGCGACGCGACGGGACAGGGCGACGGGACGGGGGGGAAAGGGCGGGCACGACGTGACGGGGGGAACGGGCGCGACGCGACGGGGGGAAAGAGCGCTAGGCGACGGGGGGAAAGGGCGCGACGCGACGGGGGGGGGGGGGGGGAAGGGCGCTAGGCGACGGGGAGAAAGGGCGCTAAGCGACGGGGGAGAGGGCGCTAGGCTCGGTACTAGGCGCGGTAACAACGGAACCGGTACGAATGAGAGGTAGGATCAGGCTCGGGAGGGACGAACGGAGAACGGAGGAACGGGATCCCACAGGATCCTAACCTAGCTGATACCATGTCAAAATGAGGAATGATGATCCATTGATGTTGGTTGGGGTACATATAACAAACCCTAACTTCTGTACCCCCTAAGACAAACCTCACTACAGGCTACAACATTTGACAGATTGTGAGGGGGCAGGTAGAGCGAAATGCACTTTCTCCATGCTGGTCCTGTCTTGCATTTCATGCTCTTTTCTGGAAAACGGGGCAGGAGGAGTTCCAGTGTTTGGTTGCTGCTTCACCTCATCTCGTGTCCGTACTGCTTACCCCTAAGGGAGACCCGGATGCACTTGACATCCCGACTCCGCGCTCTTACGCGGAGACCGTAGAGGGTCCCTACTCCTCACAGTGGGAGGCAGCTATGGATGCAGAGATGGCTTCCTGGAAGTCCACAGGCACCTACGTTGACGCGGTTCCCCCACCTGGGGCGAACATCGTCAGTGGCATGTGGATCTTCAGGGTGAAGCGGCCGCCAGGTTCTCCACCTGTCTTCAAGGCGCGGTATGTGGCTCGTGGCTTCAGTCAGCGGCAGGGAGTTGACTACTTTCAGACCTTCTCTCCCACCCCGAAGATGACCACTCTTCGGGTGCTGCTGCACATAGCCGCTCAGCGCGACTACGAGCTTCACTCTCTTGACTTCAGCACTGCTTTCTTGCAGGGTAGCCTGCACGAGGAGATCTGGCTGCGCCGCCCACCTGGCTTCACTAGGACTTTTCCTCCTGGCACCCAGTGGAGCCTCCGGCGGCCAGTCTACGGTCTCCGCCAAGCACCGCGTGAGTGGCACGACACACTGAGGACTACGCTTGCGGCTCTTGGGTTTGCTCCCTCTACTGCCGACCCGTCGCTGTTTCTGCGCACCGACACCTCTTTGCCGCCGTTCTACATCCTCGTGTACGTCGACGACTTGGTCTTTGCCACAGCTGACACTGCTGGACTCGCCCACGTGAAGTCCGAGCTGCAGAAGAGACGCACGTGCACAGACCTGGGTGAACTGCGCAGCTACCTTGGCTTGCAGATCAGCCGGGACAGAGCACGCCGCACCATTACCCTGACTCAGTCACACATGGTGCAGCAGGTCCTTCAGCGCTTTGGCTTCACGTACTCCTCGCCTCAGGCCACTCCTCTGTCTACTCGCCACTCGCTCTCAGCTCTGCCTTCGGATGAGTCCGGAGAGTCGAGTGGCCCGTACCCAGAGCTTGTTGGCTGCCTCATGTACCTGATGACCTGCACACGACCTGACCTTGCATACCCTCTTAGCATTCTTGCACGCTATGTTGCTCCTGGGAGACACAGACCGGAGCACATGGCTGCAGCGAAGAGGGTGTTGCGCTACTTGTGCAGTACGTCGGGCATGGGGCTAGTGCTTGGAGGGCGACGTCGAGTGGTCCTCACTGGGCACGTAGACGCTTCTTGGGCTTTCGACCAGGCTACACAGCGGTCGTCACAGGGTTACGCCTTCAGCCTTGGTTCCGGCTCTATTTCGTGGCGGGCTACTCGCTCGTCTTCCGTTCTCGGCTCCAGTTGTGAGGCTGAGATCTACGCAGGAGCCATGGCTGCTCAGGAGCTTCGCTGGCTCACCTACCTGCTGACTGACCTCGGAGAGCCGCCTCGTTCTCCTCCAGTGCTGTACGTAGACAACAAGGCCATGCTGGCCTTGTGTCGGGAGCAGCGCCTGGAGCACAGAACGAAGCACATTGCTCTCCGCTACTTTCTTGCTCGTGAGCTGCAGCAGCGTGGTCAGTTGCGACTTACGTACGTGGCCTCTGAGGCCAACACTGCTGATATCTTCACTAAGGCACTTGCGCCTTGTGATCATCAGCGCTTCTGTACTCAGCTTGGTCTTGTGCTTGCCTTGCCTCACTTGCTCACTTCTTGACCTTGCTTGTACTGTCACATATATATACTCCTGCTCTTGCTTGTTTAGCCTTTTATATATATATGTGCTCCTGCAAGTGAACTGGCCTTCTGGCCTTGAACTTGTGCTCAGAATGTGTGGTGACTTTGTGATCCACCCTGAGCTTTGCTTTATTTTGCTTGACTGGTCTTGTGACCCCTTGTTCTCCCCCACTTTGCCTATGGGGGTGTGTCAAATCATAATGTTCTGTAGGCTGTAGTGGGGTAGCCTATATGGGGTACACATTTCTAGGGTTGCACATTTGTACCACATTCCATTCCTTAGTGCTCATCATTCTCGTTTCAGTTTTCTCAAGGGGTGGAAGGGGGGGGGGGTGGGGGGGATTACACTTGTGGGGGGTACTGCGATCAATCCGAAGGCGGGGTTATCAGGAAGAAAGTTCCACGAAACTTCGTCCCAATAACATCGCATTCAGGATCCACAAGCGGCGTACTCTGTATTGACAGGGTTCGTGAAAACACTACACTCAGAGTGTACACAAAATTTCAGGGTCCGCTAAAGCAATACTCTAAATGGATCAGGGACCAAACTGTGGAAAACCTGATTTCTCAGGGACCAGAAAGTGACAATAAAATCAGCCATGCCTGCGCATGTGTATCGATTATCGAGCGCTTAACCGGGTCACAATAAAATCGCGCTACCCGATTCCGCGAGCGGACGACTTGCTGAACCAACTTCGCGGGGCTCGCTTCTTCTCAAAGATCGATTTGCGATGAGGCTACGACTGAATTCGCGTGTTCGCCGACAACTACCTAAAGACTACGTTTCGCACACGCTACGGCATTTACGAATATACAGTGATGCCGTTCGGACTGACCAACGCGCCCTCGACGTTCTAGTTGACAATGAACGGGGTCTTCTGGGACATGCTGGACAAAAGCGTAATTGTCTATCTCGACGACATCCTGTTGTACAACAAGACAGAAGCAGAGCATTGACGGGACCTGGAGGAGGTGTTTCGGCGCTTACAGCAGAACCGGCTTATCACGAAGGGCTCTAAGTGCGAGCTCCTAAAACTGGAGCCGGAGTTCCTGGGGCACGTTGTTTTAGGCGAGGGGATTAAAATTGACCCTCGCAAAGTAGACGCCATCGCTAAGTGGAAGTCGCCGACCAACATACATGAATTACAAAGTTTCTTGGGTTTCGTGAACTACGTTCGTCGTTTTGTACCCAACATGGCAGGGATTACCAAACAACTACCTGACCTCATGCTCGAGGACACCTATTTTCTGTGGGGGGAGAGAAGCCGTCCGCCTTCGACAAACTCAAAAACGTTTTGAGTTCACCCCCGATACTTCGCCTCACCGACCCATCTCGATCGTTCCGAAGTCATTATGGACGCCAGCGACTTCGCTGTTGGTGCCATCCTTCTACAGGACTTCAGCAAAGGGCTGCAACCCATTGCCTCACCCGCTTCCAGTGTTCCAGGAACACTGGAACACTCCTCCTCTTCCGCTTTCCATCATCCCGCCCCGTTCTCCCGCTTTCCATCACCCCGCCCCGTTCTCCCGCTTTCAATCACCCCGCCCCATTCTCCCGCTTTCCATCACACCGCCCCATTCTCCCGTTTTCCATCACCCCGCCCCATTCTCCCGCTTTCGATCACCCCGCCCCATTCTCCCGCTTTTCCTCACCCCGCCCCATTCTCCCGCTTTCCATCACCCCGCCCCATTCTCCCGCTTTCCCTCACCCCGCAACCAGTCTCCCGCTTTCCATAGCCCCCCCCCATTCTCCCGCTTTCCATCACCCCGCCCCCTTCTCCCGCTTTCCATCACCCCTCCCCATTCTCCGTCCTTCCATCACCCCACCCCATTCTCCCTCCTTCCATAACCCCGCCCCATTCTCCTGCTTTCCATCACCCCGCCCCATTCTCCCGCTTTCCCTCACCCTGCCCCAGTCTACTTCTTTCTGTCACCCCGCCCCACTCTCTTGCTTTCCGTCACCCCGCCCTATTCTCCCTCCTTCCATCACCCCGCCCCATTCTCACTCCTTCCATCACCCCGCCCCATTCTCCCGCTTTCAATCACCCCGCCCCATTCTCCCTCCTTCCATCACCCCCCCCCCCCCCCCTTCTCCCTCCTTCCATAACCCCGCCCGATTCTCCCGCTTTCCATCACCCCGCCCCATTCTCCCGCTTTCCATCACCCCGCCCCATTCTCCTGCATTCCATCACCCTGCCCCATTCTCCCGCTTTCCATCACCTCGCCCCATTCTCCCGCTTTCCATCACTCCGCCCCATTCTCCCGCTTTCCATCAGCCCGCCCCATTCTCACTCTTTCCATCACCCCACCCCATTCTCCCTCCGTCCATCGAGGGGCTGCGTGTAGGAGGTTGTGTTAGGCGGCAGGAAGACGAGGCGCACATTGCTGAGGCAAGTGGTCCGCATGCCGCAGACGATTTCGCTCCACGCGCACTCGTCCCGCAGCATGTGGGAGCTTGCATTGTCGAGCAGCACCGCGATGTGCCTCCTCTCGGCATACATCGCGGCATTGAGCTGCGATATGAAATGCGTGAACAACTGTTGGATGGGAGTGGAGGGAGGGTGGACGGGGACGGTGAGGGGGGGGTGTGGGGGGAAGGGGGTAAATGCGCTACGATGTATCGGCTCACGCAATGTTATACAAATTCAACTAGCAACGCAATGTGAATGAGCAATCACGCACGCGCGCAATCACGCAGGCGCCTGTGACTTACCGAGCTGGTCATCCAGCCTTTCGCGTTGTGCCGCCAGTAGCACAGAGCTTCCGGGTCGTAGTCCGGCCTGAAGTCGTGCGGACGGCGCGCCTTGCTGATGACCAACGGCCGGAAGACGTGGCTCCCGTCAGCGTTGACGAGAAAAGCCACCGTCAGGCGGTCCTTCGAGACCTTGCGCCCGGGAATGCGCGCGTTGCTGTACGTCTTACGCGGCAGCACAGAGAGCCACAACGCAGTCTCGTCAAAGTTGAAAGTGTCGCGCGGTTGGTAACCGAGGTGAGTCAGAAGCTGCGGCACTTTCTCACGCGCCTCACGCACAGCCGCCATGTCGGCGCTCGCCGCCTCGCCGGTGGCTGCACGGCACCGCACTCCTTGGCGCCTCAACGCACGGCGGACCCAGCCAATGGAGCAACGGAACGCGGGCGGAATGCCCATGCGTCGCGCCATCGTCGCCACGTGGTCGCGTATCGTCTGCAGAGTGAGTGGCACGCCCGCGGGGCCCGCGTTTGCGATCCAGCGAGCCATGGCCTGCTCAAGCTCAGGCCATGCGCCGCCCCGGCGCCGCACCTGATTGGGGGCGTTGGGTTCCTCCAGAGCCCAGCGCCCCGCATTCTTCAGGATGCGGCCGACCGTGGAGCGGTCAGGTCGCAGGCCATACTGGGCGTAAACCCAGCGTGCAAGATCGACGTGGCGCAGGAGGGGATGCTCGACGTGATACGCGCATAATGCGCGCTTGATGAATAGCGGAAGCTGCTCGCGGCGATGGTGGCGAGCCATTGTGGGAGGCTAAGGCGGGAGATACTGATGCTCTTGTGAATTTGCTCATTAGTTTATAACTTGTGTTATAAACTGATGAGGGGGGTTGAATTATGTTGTGATGATTCGTTACATGCACCCTGCTTACAATTTCATACATGTGGTTGGGTTACCACCAGAGTTATACTCTGACGTGGGTTAGGCGAACAACGCCTGGATGTTAGTGGGCTTGTACCCCACAATTGAGGTTTACACGTGGCAGCGTGCACCAGGCCAGATGTCTGTTACACGCACCTTGAAACTTGCCTAGGTGGCGGGGTAGGTGGGCGAATGCACTTACGAAACCATTTTCATTTCGTCCATTCGTTTCGTCAGGTTGGCGCCTGGCCTAGAAACAAGGGAAAACATGGATCGGCACTGCTTGTTGTGGTCTGCACGTGGGGGGGAGGCCGAGCCGCGTTCACTGTAGAAGGCCATCCAGGTGCCTGTACATGGGGTGCAGCAAGCAGGGGTTTCGAGTTCGGGGGCAGCGTGTCCATCCGGTGCATGGCAAATTCGCGTGCACTGGTCGGGCATCATGTGTACCACTTTGATATCGAACACGAGCGGTGCTCCATACACACAACAATTACAAGCGTGTGCCTCATTGCGAGGACAGAGTTACCATGTGATAAATTCAGGAATGACGGTTGTCCACACCGCATCAGATCAGATGCCGGAAGCTCCTCGAGCTGCTCCTAGATTTTCCTCCTCGCTTCGCGCTCGAGCATAGTAACTATCTCGAATGTCGATGACGCCTGGAATTCCCGCTTTCCTACTCAATGTCTCCTCGCTTCCCGCTACAGCAGCGAGTGAGCCTCCGTTGCTCCTCCGCGGTCACCGTTCGAGTCCGCTGTCAAGAAAAGCCAATGTGACTCTAACTAAGGAAAAGCGCGATTGCAGCAGATGTGCTAGAAAAGGGAGATTTACTGTTCGGTCGATGCAGTACAATCGGCTTGGCGAGTCGGACCTGGTGGTGTCGCGCATTTGCCTCGGCACCATGCTTTTTGGAGAAGCGCTGAGGTGAGAGTGCCTATAACGTGAAAATAAGGTCTTTAATGAGCGTGTGCAGGCAGTTCGTTAGGCCTATATGGTCTGCTTTGGGATCAACGCTGTTTGGAGAAGTGCTGCGTTTAACGTGACTGTAACGCGAGTGACTGTAGCGCGCTCTCTTAGTGTGTCAGTAAACTAATTGGTTAGCGAGTGTGGTTGCAAGGCGGGTGGTAAGTAATGTGGCACGTCTTAACTCTTCAACCCTCTACCGCTCCCCCTCTCCCCCCAACCCCCAGCTACCAGGATGCATCGGCACAGCTAAGCAGGGCTGTGGAGGGAGGGGTGAACTTCTTTGACACGGCTGAGATGTACCCTGTGCCACAGCGGGCAGAGACGCAGGTGACTTGCTTTAAACTGGTTTGACTTTCTTTGACTTGGTTTGACCTGGTGAGTCAATGCATATGGCAGGTAAAGGGGGAGGGAGGGGTGAACTTCTTTGATACGGCTGAGATGTACCCTGTGCCGCAACGGGCAGAGACTCAGGTGAATTTCTTGACTGGGATTGACGTTATTGACCTGGCTCTAATGTATTGACCCAGTTTGATTCGGTGAGTCGGTGTAAAGGTGGAGGGAGGGGTGAACTTTGTTGACACGGCTGAGATGTACCCTGTGCCTCAAAGAGAAGAGACACAGGAAAAATTGACCTGGTTTGACTTTCTTGACTTGAAAAGTTAGCACCCAAGGCAGGGAAAGGGGGAGGGAGGGGTGAACTTCGTTGACTCAGCTGAGATGTACCCTGTGCCGCAACGAGCAGACACACAGGTGAACTGCTTTGATTCGACTGACTTTCTTTGATTTGGTGAGCTAGTGCAGAAGGCGGGCAGAAGGGAAGGGAGGGTTGAACTTCTTTGATACGGCTGAGAAGTACCCTGTGCCGCAAAGGGCAGAAAGGCGGGTGACCCTGACTTTCTTGACTTAGTTTGCCATTGCTTGACTTAATGATCGTCCTCAAGGCAGCTAGAGGGGGAGGGAGCAGTGAAACGTTTTTGAAACGGCTGAGATGTGCCCTGCGCCGCAAAGGGCGGCGACACAGGGGACTTTCTTGACTTGCGTTGACTCTCCTGCCCAGTTTCCAATCACACACCACCACCACGTCACCACCAGGGTATTTGATGTCGGTTCACGCGTGCTTTCCCCACTCATATGAGAGCCAAAGGGCCACCATTAGGGCCAAAGCGAAGAGTACCCGAAGCGGTGACTCACTGCTTCTGTCATTTCGAAAGGCAATTTCTCACCATTCAATACCATCACTCGGAAATTGCCCTACATGGCAATTTCCCAACCCCTTTCCTCTCTTTTTGTTTTCCTCCGTCTGCCTCTCCCCTCACGTGTCCCCACACACACCCCAGTCTCAGTGAGGAGTATCTGGGTCGGTGGATGGCTGCTTCTGGCATTTTAAGAGATACGCCCTCACCACCACCCCAGCACCATGTCCTCGTTTTCCCTCGCATGTGTCCTACACACACCGAGGGTTGAAGCGAGGAGTATCTGGGTTGCGAAGCGAGGAGTATCTGGGTTGCGAAGCGAGGAGTGGCGGCCTTTGGAATTCCGAGAAGCAAGCCCTCCCTCCCAACCACCATGTTCTCTTTTCCCCCCTCCGCGCTCCTGCTCGCCCTTCTCCTGTTCTCCCTCCCTCCACGTGTCCCCACACACACCCAGGGCCGAAGTGAGGAGTATCTGGGGCGGTGGATGGCTGCTTCTGACATTTCAAGAGACAAACTCGTGGTCGCCACCAAGGTGGGCTTTAAGAGGCTTTCATCTGGGTTTTATGAGAAATTACGGGTTACAAATGGGTCACTACAGTGGGCTTTAACGCTTTCCAGCTGACGTGTGGCATTTGGAACGCGTTAAAGCCCACCGTATCTCCTCAGTTCAGATGATGGGGGGCTCATCCCCCCTTCTCGCAAGGTGGATACAAGAAGGGGGGACTATTGCGACGTCTCAAACGTCCTCCCTTCCCCCCTCCCCTTCCCCCCTTCAGAAATGCTTCAGGTGGCAGGCCCATCTACGCAGATATCGTGGATAAGAGGGGGGCCTTGTGCCTAGACCCCGGTTAACATCACATCCGCCATACACTCCAGCCTGCAGCAGCGCCTGCACTGTGACTATATCGATCTGCTGCAGCTGCACTGGCCGGATAAACCCTAAATGCCTACATTCAAGTACTGCGAATGATCCCCCTCCCTCATCTCCACTCTCCCCTCCATCTCTCACTTCTCTGTGCACCTCCCCATTCAGGGTTCCCTCAGGTGGTGGGTCCATCAGCTCAAATGACGTGGATAAAAGGGGGGGCCTTGTGCCCTAGACCCCGTTAACATGGCTGCTCTCCTCCCTCCCCTCCCCTCCCCTCCCCTCCCCTCCCCTCTCCCCCCCCTTCAGGGACCTTTCAGGTAGCGGGCCCATCGGCTCAAATGACGTGGATAAGAGGGGGCCCTTTTGCCCTGGACCCCGTTAATATCACATCCGCTATAGACACCAGTCTGCAGCGCCTGCAGTGTGACTATATCGATTTGCTGCAGCTCCACTGGCCCGATCGCTACGTGCCCATGTTTGGCGACTGGGAGTTTGACCCCCGATGTGACTATAACGAGTACAGCTCGTTTGAAGCACAGCTGGAGGCTCTAGGAAGGGCAGTGGACGCAGGTAGATCTGAGTGTCCAGGGGTTTGGGTTTTGGGTCTCCTCCTCTGCTCTTGTTCCCTCCAGCCATTTCCATCCAGAACGCCTATTCCCTGCTCTGCCGCACATTTGACTCCACCCTAGCTGAATCGTGTCACCACGAGCACCTTCCCCCACTGTTGTGTTTTGAGACGTCTCAAAAGACTCCAAGGGCTCACTCTCCGCCGCTAACCTTAACTCCCCCCCACTCCCCCACTCCCCCCACATCCCCCCACTCCCCCACTCCCCCCACATCCCCCCACTTCCCCTCACTCAACCCCTCCCGCTTCCCCCTTATCCCAGGGAAAGTGCGGTACATTGGACTCAGCAACGAGACAGCATGGGGATTGGGAAAGTTTCTGGAAGCTGCCAGCCAGCCTGCAACTCCCTCCTCCTCGTCTCCTCTCTGCCCTCGCCCGATCGCCCTGCAGAACGCCTATTCCCTGCTCTGCCGCACATTTGACTCCACCCTAGCTGAGTCGTGCCACCACGAGCACATTCCCCTGCTCGCATACAGCCCTCTGGCCATGGGGCTGCTCTCGGGTAAATACCACTGCAGCCCCCAAATGTTGTCGGGTAAACACCGCTCTAGCCCATCAGCAGACCCTGCCACGTCAGCCAACGCTGACACATCAGCAGACGCTGCCACGTCAGCATCGATTGACACAGTACTACTCCTGGCCCAATCTCTGGATCTCCACCAAAGCTCTGATCCAACCGACACCAACAACAGAATCTTTCAGGATCCTTCCTGGCGCTTAGTTAAATACCGGAACCGATACGCAGAGGCAGAGGGCCGGTACCCAATCAGCAACCCCCGGGTGGCGACAGCTGTCAGGGCGTACGCTGATGTGGCGAGGCGGTTCCACGTGTCACCCGTACAACTGGCACTGGCGTTTGTGCTGGCTCATCCCCTGGTGGGGGCTGCGGTTGTGGGGGCATCATGTTTGCAGCAGTTGGAGGAAATTCTGTCAGTTGTGGGGGAGGGGGGAGGGGGCGGGAGTGGGAGGGGAGAGGGGATAGAGTTTACTGAGGAGATGCGTGCTGCAGTTGACGCGGTTCATTCTGTGCTGCCAAACCCCACCCCTTAATTTTGGCGACTGTAAGGTTAAATCAGAGATCAGATCTCATTGTCTCTGCTCGCACATCCCTTGGTTGGAGCTGCGGTTGTTGAATCTCTTCGTGTTTGGATGGAGCAGCTAGAAGAGGTAGTGTAGGTTGTGAGGGAAGGGAGAGGGGGAAATGGAGGGGGCGGCGAAGGGGGAAAGGGAAAAGAGGGGATAGAGTTTACAGGGGAAATGAGGGCTACCGCTGACGCCATGCATGCCATGCTGCCAAACTTCACCCCGTAATTGTGGCTATGAGCAATCCTACAGAACCTCTTTGTCGCTGTTGCTGCTGCTGCTGCCAGCTCAAACCGCCACTCCTATCCTTGGCGCGGTGTGGTGTCGTGTAGAGTGGTGGCCTCACTTGTAATCAGAAGAGCAAGGGAGGTCGGGTGCAGTGCAGCGAATTGGACGCTGCACCTTGCTTGCGTCCTTCGTCTCCTTTGTGTTATTGAGTGGTTCAATGTACAGTTACCATACCAAGCCAGAGCTTTGAAACCGCCTTCTCGTGTGGTTACATTCAATCTCAAGGCAACCAGCCAGGGCTGATCTGCCAGCAATATTACCATTGTATACTATACCCGTTATGATGTTCACCATTATTCTCTAATGCTCTTGTAATGAGTGCGCTACTGCCAGCATGGCCACTGCAGCGGTCTCCTCTCCACCTGCAGCCTTCGTTGATTCGATTACAGCAAGTCAACTTCCTTGCTCTTGTAGTGAATGTGCTAGTAGCGAGACCCCTGCCAGCATGGCCACTGCAGCGGTCTCAACTCTCAGCCTCTGCAGCCCCAAGCTCACTGCCCTTGCCCCTGCTGCTTTCAGAGCCTCTAGTTCTGATGGGGTGAAATCTGCAGGATAGGTGGAAGGGGGAGTGTGGAGGGAGCGTTTGGTAGTTGAGTGGTTAAAGAGAACATAAATAGGCAAATGAGAAAGGTCTCCGCAGCCCCAAGCTCACGAGGTGCCTTTTGAGTCGACTCAAAAGTCACTTTGTGTGGGGGGGGGTTTGGTCGTTGAGTGGTTAAAGAGAACATAAACAGGCACATGAGAAAGGTTTTGAGACGTCTCAAAACCCTTCTTTTGAGACGTCTCAAAACCCTTCTTCAATCACGTGAGTGGTTTAAGAGAACCTAAACAGGCAAATGAGAAAGGTCTCTGCAGCCCCAAGCTCACTTCCCGTGCCCCTGCGACTTTCAGAGCCTCTACTTATGATGGGGTAAAGCCTGCAGAGTGGCAGGAGGTGTGGGAGAAAGGAGTTTGGTGGTTTGGTGGTTGGAGAGAAAATCGGTCTCCACCCTCGGCCTTTTGAGTCGACTCAAAAGTTTTGAGTCGACTCAAAAGGTGTGGGAGAAAGGAGTTTGGTGGTTTGGTGGTTGGAGAGAAAATAGGTCTCCACCCTCGGCCTCTGCAGCCCCAACCTCACTGCCTGTGGCCCCGCTGCCTTGAGTGCATTTGATACCGATTGGGTGAAATATGAAGAGGAGAGAGTGGGGAGAGAACGGGGAGGGTTCTTGGTGGGAGGAGATGGACAGATGATTCTAATGGTGCGCGTATGGTCTGACGATGGACGGACAGATGATTCTAATGGTGCGCGTGGTGTTCCTTGGTGGGAGGAGATGGACGGACAGATGATTCTAATGGTGCGCGTGGTGTTCCTTGGTGGGAGGAGATGGACGGACAGATGATTCTAATGGTGCGCGTATGGGCGCACAAAGCAAACCAGGGTGGCCACTGCAGCGGTTTCTAAACCTCAGCCTCTGTCTGCCACCCCAAGCCTTTTTTGAGACGTCTCAAAACAGCATGGCCACTGCAGTGGTCTCCAACCTCAGCCTCTGCCTGCCACCCCAAGCCTTTTTTGAGACGTCTCAAAACAGCATGGCCACTGCAGCGGTCTCCAACCTCAGCCTCTGCCTGCCACCCCAAGCCTACTGGCCGTGCCCCTGCTGCCCTCAGAGCCTCTATTTTCGATGGGTTAAAATCTGTAGCAGGGAGGGTGGGTGGAGAGAGTTGTGGTTGTTTCTTAGGCCGACCCAGCAGCCTCTGCAGCCCCAAGCTCACTGCCCATGCTCCCGCTGCCTCGAGAGCATTCGACTTCTGATGAGGTAATGTCCGCAGGTTTGATGGGAGGCGTGGAGGGGGTGGGGTGGGTGGGAAGGGTTTTGGAACTTTGGGGGTTGGAGAGAGAGCAATGGCACATGGGTGTATGAGGTCACGTGCCTTTGCTCTCTCTCCAACTAAGTTGGGTCCGTACGTTTTTGGACAAGCGTAATCGTAATATTACTCGTAAACGTAAACGTACGCGTACATACGAGTAAATACGCGTAACATCTATCCGGGCAGGGAAAATTTTTGCCAAGAAGGGCCGTCGACTAGAGGAGTGGGACAAGAGGCATGACGCGAGACAACAAATGTGGCAATATGTGAAAAACCAACACACATGAAACCCGTCACCACAAACTATATTGGCGGTGGTCGAAACATCGTCGCACCACCTTTTGGTTGTGCAAGAAACAACCGGATCTACAGCAAAAACGAGGGCATGAGTTTGTTGGGCAGCCCCAAAAAAAGTTGTAATCTGCCCGCAAACGTAAACATTTCAGCTCCGCAAACGAAACATAAAACGTACGTAAACGTAAACGCAAAACGTATGTAAACGTAAGCGTAATATCCAACTTAGCTCTCCAACTTTGGGGGTTGGAGAGAGAGCAAAGGCACATGGGTGTATGAGGTCACGGGGCATGAAGGCACATGGGTGTATGAGGTCACGGGGCATGAAGGCACATGGGTGTATGAGGTCACGGGGCATGAAGGCACATGGGTGTATGAGGTCACGGGGCATGAAGGCACATGGGTGTATGAGGTCACGGGGCATGAAGGCACATGGGTGTATGAGGTCACGGGGCATGAAGGCACATGGGTGTATGAGGTCACGGGGCATGAAGGTCACTGCCCGTGACCTTCATGCACGCTGCTGCCGTCAGCCCCAATACTTGCAACCCATTGGTTCCTTCCACCCGCGGAGCGGACCGCCCGTGACCGGTGTCATACTCTAACCACTTGCTGCCACGTGTTGAACCATGGCCTCTAAATGGGGTTCGATTGCCCACTACTTGCAACCCATTGGTTCCTTCCACCCGCGGAGCGGACCGCCCGTGACTGGTGTCATACTCTAACCACTTGCTGCCACGTGTTGAACCATGGCCTCTAAATGGGGTTCGATTTCCCAATACTTGCAACCCATTGGTTCCTTCCACCCGCGGAGCGGACCGCCCGTGACTGGTGTCATACTCTAACCACTTGCTGCCACGTGTTGAACCATGGCCTCTAAATGGGGTTCGATTTCCCAATACTTGCAACCCATTGGTTCCTTCCACCCGCGGAGCGGACTGCCCGTGACCCTGCTGCTGCCCTCAGCCCCAATAGTTGCAACGTGGGGGTGGAGCGTGGTTGCGGGTGGTGGAGAACAGTCGGGCGGGTGGAGAACAGTCGGGCAGGCATCTCAAACGAAACTCGCATCTCACCTCCTTCAGGCCCCACTATAAGCAGCCCGCCCTTTTGCAGCAAAGAAGGATCCATCGCCCCGACTGCTGCCAGCAGGGGAGGCGAGTTGGGCGCTCCCAGCAGAGCGAAAGGGGCCTGCTGAATCTGCAGGGGAAGTAGGAGTGGGATGCGGTGGAAAGGGGTTGGTGATTTTTCAAAAGATCCTTCGCCCTGACTGCTGCCAGCAGGGGAGGCGAGTTGGGCGCTCCCAGCAGAGCGAAAGGGGCCTGCTGAATCTGCAGGGGAAGGCAGGAGAAACAAGGAAGAGGTAGACAAGAGTGGGTGGGATGCGGCGAGGAGGAGTTGGCGCGGCTCTTTAAACGAATCCATCATCCAACTGCTGCCAGCAGTGGCAAAGCATTGGGTGCTCCCGAAACAGCCAAAGGGGCCTGCTGGATACACAGGGAGGAAGGACAGGGACGAGGTAGGAGTGGAATGCGGTGAGAAGGAGCTGGTGATTTTCTCAAGGATGGTGAGCAGGGGTAATAAGTCGGGCACTCCCAGCAGAGCCGAATGGGCCTGCTGGATCCGCAGGGAGGAAAGGAAGGACAGAAACAGAAAGGGGGAAATAAAAACGAATTAGGAGTAAAGGTGACGGGAGAGAGGAGCAGAAGAGAGAGAGGAGCAGAAGGGAGAGAGGCGCAGAAGGGAGAGAGGCGCAGAAGGGAGAGAGGCGCAGAAGGGAGAGAGGCGCAGAAGGGAGAGAGGCGCAGAAGGGAGAGAGGCGCAGAAGGGAGAGAGGCGCAGAAGGGAGAGAGGCGCAGAAGGGAGAGAGGCGCAGAAGGGAGAGAGGCGCAGAAGGGAGAGAGGCGATCACATACCTGCTTTGTGAGGTCTTTGAGAGAGGTGAAGTCGTGGATGTGTTTTGAGACGTCTCAAAACCCTTGTTTTATCACGAGACGTCTCAAAACACTTGTTTTATCACGAGACGTCTCAAAACACTTGTTTTATCACGAGACGTCTCAAAACACTTGTTTTATCACGAGACGTCTCAAAACACTTGTTTTATCACGAGACGTCTCAAAACACTTGTTTTATCACGAGACGTCTCAAAACACTTGTTTTATCACGAGACGTCTCAAAACACTTGTTTTATCACGAGACGTCTCAAAACACTTGTTTTATCACGAGACGTCTCAAAACACTTGTTTTATCACGAGACGTCTCAAAACACTTGTTTTATCACGAGACGTCTCAAAACACTTGTTTTATCACGAGACGTCTCAAAACACTTGTTTTATCACGAGACGTCTCAAAACACTTGTTTTATCACGAGACGTCTCAAAACACTTGTTTTATCACGAGACGTCTCAAAACACTTGTTTTATCACGAGACGTCTCAAAACACTTGTTTTATCACGAGACGTCTCAAAACACTTGTTTTATCACGAGACGTCTCAAAACCCTTGTTTTATCACGAGACGTCTCAAAACACTTGTTTTATCACGAGACGTCTCAAAACACTTGTTTTATCACGAGACGTCTCAAAACCCTTGTTTTATCATGAGACGTCTCAAAACACTTGTTTTATCACGACACGTCTCAAAACACTTCTTTTATCACGAGACGTCTCAAAACAATTGTTTTATCATGAGACGTCTCAGAACACTTATTTTATCACGAGACGTCTCAAAACACTTCTTTTATCACAAGACGTCTCAAAACACTTCTTTTATCACGAGACGTATCAAAACATTTCTTTTATCACGAGCCGACCACATACCTGCGTTGTGAGGTCGTTGAGAGAGGTGAAATGGTGGATGCAAGGTCGATGGATGGAGTTTTGGACGACTCAAATGTTGTATACTCACAGCGTGCACTGTGAAACGCGGGATTCTCAACGTACCTGCTTTGTGAGGTCGTTGAGAGAGATGAAGTCGTGGATGCAAGGTCGATGGATGGACTGGCCTGAGGGGAGAGACAAGGAAATGGAGAGAGGCGAGAAAGTGGAGAGAAGCGAGAGGACTATTGAGTCAAGTTGGAAGTCGAAAGGATGGATGGACTGGCCAGAGGGGCAGATGGGAGAGTGGGGGAAGGGCGAAAGGGAGAGAGGAGAGGAACGTCAGGAAAAGGCAAAAACATGGATGAAAGTGGAGGGGAAAACGTATGTATGTGTGTGCGCGCACTCGTGCATGTGTGTGTGCGTGTGTGCGTGTGTGTGTCGGGGTGTGCGTTCACCCACACAAGCACATGCCTCTCACTCTCCCCCACTCACTCTGCTTAGCAGCAACCAACGCCACTCGCTCCCTCATGCTAATCAAGTTGTTTTGAGAATTCTCAAAAAACACGTTTTGAGACGTCTCAAAAGAGATTTATTATCGCCCCCTCTTTCTCTCCCCATGCACTCACTCTGCTTACCAGCAACCAACGCCACTTTCTCCCGTCTACCCACCTGCCCCCCCCCCCCCCTGACCGCTCCGTGACCAGCGGAATGAACGCCACTGCAGCAATGCTCCCAGGTCATGCATGCACACACCCACACCCTCTCTCCCCTTCCCATGCACTCACTCTGCTTGGCAGCAGCCAGCGCCACTCGCTCCCATCTGTCCACCCGCCCCTCTCCCTTCCCCCCTGACCGCTCCGTGACCAGTGGGATGAATCCTACTGCTCCCAGCTCCTGCAGGCGAGCACACAGTGAGAAGGGGAACAGGGAAGATGCTGGGTTGGGGAAGGGATGTACTATGCGGTACTATGCAAACAGTGTCCAGTGGGATGATCCTCGCTCCTCCCAGCCACGTGTATGAAGACTGGTTTTGAGACGCCTCAAAACCAATCTTCATGCATGCTGGGTTGGGGAAGGGAGGTAGTTTGCGGATACAAACAGTGTCCAGTGGGATGATCCTCGCTCCTCCCAGCCACGTGTATGAAGACTGGTTTTGAGACGCCTCAAAACCAATCTTCATGCATGCTGGGTTGGGGAAGGGAGGTAGTATGCGGATACAAACAGTGTCCAGTGGGATGATCCTCGCTCCTCCCAGCCACGTGTATGAAGACTGGTTTTGAGACGCCTCAAAACCAATCTTCATGCATGCTGGGTTGGGGAAGGGAGGTAGTATGCGGATACAAACAGTGTCCAGTGGGATGATCCTCGCTCCTCCCAGCCACGTGTATGAAGACTGGTTTTGAGACGCCTCAAAACCAATCTTCATGCATGCTGGGTTGGGGAAGGGAGGTAGTATGCGGATACAAACAGTGTCCAGTGGGATGATCCTCGCTCCTCCCAGCCACGTGTATGAAGACTGGTTTTGAGACGCCTCAAAACCAATCTTCATGCATGCTGGGTTGGGGAAGGGAGGTAGTATGCGGATACAAACAGTGTCCAGTGGGATGATCCTCGCTCCTCCCAGCCACGTGTATGAAGACTGGTTTTGAGACGCCTCAAAACCAATCTTCATGCATGCTGGGTTGGGGAAGGGAGGTAGTTTGCGGATACAAACAGTGTCCAGTGGGATGATCCTCGCTCCTCCCAGCCACGTGTATGAAGACTGGTTTTGAGACGCCTCAAAACCAATCTTCATGCATGCTGGGTTGGGGAAGGGAGGTAGTATGCGGATACAAACAGTGTCCAGTGGGATGATCCTCGCTCCTCCCAGCCACGTGTATGAAGACTGGTTTTGAGACGCCTCAAAACCAATCTTCATGCATGCTGGGTTGGGGAAGGGAGGTAGTATGCGGATACAAACAGTGTCCAGTGGGATGATCCTCGCTCCTCCCAGCCACGTGTATGAAGACTGGTTTTGAGACGCCTCAAAACCAATCTTCATGCATGCTGGGTTGGGGAAGGGAGGTAGTATGCGGATACAAACAGTGTCCAGTGGGATGATCCTCGCTCCTCCCAGCCACGTGTATGAAGACTGGTTTTGAGACGCCTCAAAACCAATCTTCATGCATGCTGGGTTGGGGAAGGGAGGTAGTATGCGGATACAAACAGTGTCCAGTGGGATAAACCCCGCTCCTCCCGGCTCCTGCAAGAAAGGAAAAAGCCAGGGGACTGGGGAGGGGGAAAATTGGAACGGGGGTTGAAAGGGGAGCATATGGTAATTATTCCCCCAAACAGAGGAGGGGAAGAAGGGGCGACGGATGGTGACAGAGAGGGAAGGGAGGTGCAGCGGGTGGACAACACAACCCCCCACGTTCTGGTCGTGCATTTTCCAATCAGCCAAACGTGACCGTGCATTTCTCAACGAGCAATTACGATGTGGATGTATGCATTATCTTTGTGTATTTCTCGATCAGCCAATCCTGACCGTGCATTTCTCGATCAGCCAATCAGAGCGGCCACCCTTGAGCGTGCCACAAGCTGCCACCACCGTCCACTGGGGGCCGGAGAAAGGAACCTTCCGGGCAGCTTCCGTGGCCACAAGAACAATGCCCTGCTGGCGGTCGATCGACTCCAATCGGACGGTCACGATGGATCCCTGGCCATCAAACAACTCGGCTCTGTTTAGGATGTGGGATTCAAAAGGATGTGGGGGATGGGGGAGGGGAGAGAGAGACGGGGGTGGGGGATACATTTGAGGATGGATTGGTGGAAGGAGGGATGCATGGCAGTCAGACTGTGCTTCGTGAAAACCCGCAAAAGCAGACTCAAGCACACTATTCAAATTACCACCAATGCGACTGAAACAGACATTGATGCGAATACTCCCACTGAAAGAAAGCTCTGCAAAACCAGACTAAAAGCACATTAACCACCACCAATCCTACTGAATGTTACAGAAAACGATACTACAAAGAAAATGTGGAAGAAGAAATACGCACAGGTCACCGGGTCTGAGGCGCAGCGAGCGACTCATGTGCGACGCCTCGGAGCCCACCAATCGCACAGCACTGCCCTGCCAACATGGCACATTGCCACGTCATCAGATGCTTGCCTGGACGTGACACGTACACGATGATATCTCCCACAGCAAATGAAGGAAGGCAGACTTGGAACAGCAATCGTATCCTCGATATTGGGCTCCTCACCATTAGCAGGGGCAGGCTTTCGGAGAAGAAACGCGGAAGGCCCGAGGAGGAAGGGGAGTAAGAGGCAGAGGTGGAGGAAGAGGGGGAGGACGAGGAAGGGGAAGAGGAGGAGGGAGGGGAAGGTGAGGAGGGATGATGGGAAGGGGATGTTGGGGAGGATTGTAACGAGGATGGATTCCCTGATGTTGCAGCGAGCGTAGCCGTTTTTCTCCGTGGTGGAAGTGACACGTGGCGGGCTACCACTCGCTGCTGTTGCCAGCGCTGTAAGAGGCCGAAGCCAGAGCTTTCTTCCTGGCGATCATATTGACACCCGGGATGAACGAAACTGCAGTTACCAGCGTTAGCTGAACTGGCGAAGCCTGAACTCGTCGCTCGGTTTCGCCGCTGAGCTGCGAAAGACCCGGCGAAACGGCCCAGGAGATCAGCATTAGCCACTGGATCAAAACTCCTTCGCGTGGAGGCTTCGCCGTACGTAATAAAACGCGCCTCGGCTGACCGACGACCGATCACTACTAAGCTCGGACTCACTACCAAGCTGGGCCTCGCGGCGCTCCTGGTGCTGCCGATGGTACGCGACGGCAGCGACGGCCCCCGTCGCAAAATGCGTGTTTCGACCGATCGAGCCAGTGCCGCTGCGGCGGACATTGCGAGGCTGTACGGACTCGGGGCTGTGGTGAGCGCCGAGACTTAGCGTGAATCAAGGAACAGTACTCGAACGAGGTACCACATGTGTTTTTAGAAGACTAGAGGGCATTCACGGTTGCTCCTGTCAGACGACTATCGCGAGGCTGGCCCCTAGCACATATTCAGAGTGACAATAGGATATTGAGCGAAATATAATAATAATAATGAAAGCAGAGCCCACTATTAATCGCATGAAACCGTTCTGGAACCATCCTCACCATTTTCTGCGCAGTCCGTGAATTTGTGCATTAAGTTTTTGGAGGGGATCGAGATGGGCATTTTCAAGGAACCCATGCCGTATTCAGAAATGCGGCACATAAATATCGTTCAAACAGAAAACGAACCGCCCTTTTGGCTTATGAAAATCAGGTAGCAGACAGCTTGGACCTTTCAGCGAAAACTATATGTACCGAAGTCTGAAGCTCGAAGGGATTGCGCCCCCAAACTCGTCTGTCACTGCAGCCAAACCATTTGATTTGACACTCTCACAGTTCCTGGGAGGGTGGACCTGACCAAAACCAGCATTTTCTGGTCAAGTATCACGGTTTCCTTCGGTCTATTGCGACCGAAAGCGGTTGTTACTTAGAACCGCGTACAATCCCGAGGAAACCATCCGAACCGCATGGGTAGTGGAAAACCGAAGTTCCAGTGTGTTTCAGATTTCAGGACCAAGCCAGACCATTCAGAGAGTATTTGAAGAGTCACCGTAATTTCCGGAGCCGACCAGCGATTCGTGAGGTCGTGAGCCGAGCTCAGGATAGGCGGCTGCTGTGATACTTAGCTGGGCGTTATGTAAGCTGCACTTAGGCTGGCTCTTTTTGTTCCACGCCGTCGCCATTCCTACTGCATTGTGGTCGTTCTCCACGCATCTTGCTGGCAGCGCAGCGCACGAATAAATCGGCTCAAACCAAGCTCATACCGCACTGCAGCGGAAAAACGAAACTTGGCGTGTATTTATTATCCTTCCTCGACGTCAGTCAAGAGAGCATTGAGCGGCTAGTGTACCCGTCAGCCCCTGCACGAAAGCCTCTGCGCGCGCTGATAAGCTATCACCGTTCCGCCTCCAGCATGGCAATGCGGCTGCTGCTCCAGCATTCCGCCCCTCTCGCGTCGTTTCCGCCTGCGCCAGCGCAGCCCGCGCGGGCGCGGAGAACCATCAGCGCAATCCTCCTCGCGCGGGGAACTGTTCCGCGCGCTAATTCGCAAAGCATCAGAATCAGCGGATCAGCCTTGTTCGGCGTTCCGCAAGCGCTTAGTTGTGCCAGGCGCATTTCTGGAGCGCCTGAAAGCAGGCGCAATGCGACCGTTGCAAGCAGGGCCGTCCGCGGACCGGTCCGCGCGGAGGCTTCCGCTTACGCTGGCGGAGGCGGCGGTGAGGCTCAGCGCGCGGAAGCGGAGTGGCGCAACGAGGCGGAGCGTCGGGCGACGTCGCCTATAATGGTAGGGACATAGCAGAGGGAAGGAGACCGCGCATTCATGATAAAAGGCATGCTGTAGATGTATATTATGTGTATACATGCATGTTCTCTGCGATGTCACAACTTTCAGCCAAATACCTCTTGCTTGTGGTGTCTAGGTGAATACTGTGAGCAGAGCAATGGGGCTCTTAACGTGTGAGTGTAAGCAATGGGGCTCTTAACGTGTGAGTGTAAGCAATGGGGCTCTTAACGTGTGAGTGTAAGCAATGGGGCTCTTAACGTGTGAGTGTAAGCAATGGGGCTCTTAACGTGTGAGTGTAAGCAATGGGGCTCTTAACGTGTGAGTGTAAGCAATGGGGCTCTTAACGTGTGAGTGTAAGCAATGGGAGTGAAAGATGTGAAATGCGCCCCACCTCCTTTCTTCCCCCTGCACCCTCTGCCTCTCTCCATACTCCCCCGTTCCGCACTCTCCCCACCCACCCACCACTTACTTTTCCCTGGTCATATTTAGCCGTCTACATACCCTCCGTCCTCGGGACTGCTGTTTATGGCAGCAGCGTTGCTCGCTGCATCAGCAGCGGAGCATTCCATTCCATGTAGCCTCCTTCACCCCACCGCCTCTTTCCCTCTCCCTCTCGCCCACTCCCCTTCAGTCCCCCTTCTTTCCCCTTGGTCCCATCCCATCCAACCCTCTGCCCTCCGGCCTCTCATTCTAGCAGCAGCGCTGGTGGCAGCATCAGCAGCAGCGCTGGTGGCAGCATCAGCAGCAGCGCTGCTCGGACGGGCCCCCTTCGCCCCACCGCCTCTTTCCCTCTCCCATTCCTCGTTCCCACTACCTTCTCCGCTTTTGAGGCGCCTCAAAACTCTTTCCCTCTCCCATTCCTCGTTCCCGCTACCTTCTCCGCCTCTCATTCCCTCTATTTCCCCCCCTGTCGCCTTCACCCTGTCCCATCCAGCCATCCGCCTTCCGTCCGCTAATCCTAGCAGCAGCGCTGGTCGCAGCATCAGCAGCTGCGCTGCTCGGCTGGAATCCCCTTCGCCCCACCGCCTCCCTCCCTCCGCCTGCTTCCGCCGCTGCTGTTCAGGTGTTTTGATGGTTGTGCTGGGTGGTGGTGGTGATGGTGATGGTGGTGGTGGTGGTGGTGGTGGTGGTGGTGGTGGTGGTGGTGGTGGTGGTGGTGGTGGTGGTGGTGGTGGTGGTGGTGGTGGTGGTGGTGGTGGTGGTGGTGGTGGTGGTGGTGGTGGTGGTGGTGGTGGTGGTGGTGGTGGTGGTGGTGGTGGTGGTGATGGTGGTGGTGGTGGTGATGGTGGTGGTGGTGATGGTGGTGGTGGTGATGGTGGTGTGGTGATGCTGCTGCTGCTCGTTAGGTGCGCTCATGTGGCTTCTTCTACTGCCCTTTTCTGCTTCTATTTCCTTTGATGTTGCTACTGCTTTCCCCCAACCTTTTGCCTCCCAGCCCCCCTCTCCCCCACTTTTTGTTGCCCGATTCCTTCAAGCGTGCAAGCAAGAGACACCCTATCCTGAAACGTCTGAATTTTGAATCTTCTAAAATCTCTTGAAACCCTCCACCTCCTTCTTCCCCACTCCTCCTCCCACCGACCCCTCCTCCTCGGCACATCCCTCTGGGCGTGCAGACCGACCTCTGGGCCAAACCTCTGGGTTGAAATGGTTCAACCCCCCCCTCCCCCACCCTCCCCGACCGACCCCCCACACCACACACTCATTCGTTCCCTCCCACGCACACTTGGCCTTCTCAGATCCCTCTGGCCGTGCAGGAGGCCAAGCCCCTAGGACACCACTCCAAGTGCCTCTTGAGTTGACCCAGACAGACGCCATCCCTTTTCCCAACCACCCCACACACATTTCGCCCCCCTTCCTCCCCCCTTGGCCTTCTCAGATCCCTCTGGCCGTGCAGGAGGCCAAGCCCCTAGGCCGCCTGTCCAAGCGCGCTCGCCTGCTGTACTGGCTGGACAACCTCTTTGCCACGGAGCCCAACAGCAAGGTGGGTTTCAGAGGAGAGTTTAATTGCGGAGCGGTGACTCTTGAGTCGAGATGTAAGTAACACACACAGGACTTGCCTGCTCTTTTTTAGGATTCTCAAAAACCAATTTAATTGCAGAGCGGTGACACTTGAGTCAAGAGGTAAGTAACGCACACAGGACTTGCCTGCCCTGCGCTACTGGCTGGACAACCGGTTTGCTACCGAGCCCAACAGCAAGGTGAGCGTCAGAGGAGAGTTTAATCGCAGAGCGGTGACTCTTGAGTCAAGATGTAAGTAACACACACAGGACTTGCCTGCTCTGCTCTGCTGGCTGGACAACCTGTTTGCTACCGAGCCCAACAGCAAGGTGGGTGGGGGACAGGGGAGAGCTTGTAACGCAGCAGGGAGACGACGGGGTGAGTTGAGGCAGGTAACGCACACAGGACTTGCCTGCCCTGCTCTGCTGGCTTTTGAGGCGCCTCAAAAGTTGAGGCAGGTAACGCACACAGGACTTGCCTGCCCTGCTCTGCTGGCTGGACAACCTGTTTGCTACCGAGCCCAACAGCAAGGTGGGTGGGGGAGGGGAGAGAGAGAGCCTAAAGTGCATGATGTGTGCTCTACCGTTTTCCACCTCTTCAAACCCCTTTCAACCCCCCTTTCTTCTCAACCCCTCCAGGCACACACGCTGCTGGCCATCTGCATGCTCCTGACCTGGCTGCTGTGGGCGGGGTGCTGTACAAGGCAGCAGCAGTGTTTAGTACCCTTTCCCACCTCCTCTACAACCCAAACCCATTTCCACGCCTTGACCAATCTATCCTCAGGCACACACGCTGCTGGCCATCTGCATGCTGCTGACTGCCGTGGACGGGGTGCTGTACAAGGCAGCAGCCGTGGCGTCCAATGACTCAACGCCCTTTCTCACCTCTTCAAACCCCTCTCTACCCTCCTGGTTTCCCTCCTCCAGGCCCTCACACTGCTGGCGATCTGCATGTTGCTCACAGCAGTGGGTGGTGTGTGCTGTACAAGGCAGCAGCCGACGACCTGCCATCTCCACCACATGAAACCCCTTTCCCATTTCTTCAAACCCCTTACAACCCCTTTCAACCTGTTTCGCCCCCCCTTTCTTCTCAACCCCTCCAGGCACTGACGCTGCTGGCCATCTGCATGCTGCTGACAGCAGTGGGCGGGGTGCTGTACAAGGCAGCAGCTGCTCTAGTGTTTGGTGTTATTGATTTCTACCTCTTGACACCCCTCTCAACCCCTTTCTTCTCACCCCTTAGGCCCTCACACTGCTGGCGATCTGCATGTTGCTGACTGCAGTGGGCGGGGTGCTGTACAAGGCAGCAGCCGTGGCGTCCAATGACGACCTGCCACTTGGCGAGTCCGTGTGGGTGTCGTGGACGTTTGTGTCCAACCCCAGCGAGCATGTCAATGAGGTGAGTGGCTCCCTCCTCCCCCCTCTCTCCCCCCAACCACACACACAGAGAGGGCGAGAGAGCAGGTGAGCTAGCTAGGTGGTTACGAGGCCGTGTGGGTGTCGTGGGCGTTTGTGTCCAACCCCAGCAAGCATGTCAATGAGGTGAGTGGACAGCAGAGGGAGAGGGTGATATAGGTGAGAGAGCAGGCGAAGGAGTTGGGGCCAAAGCCAACCCAACCCACACACGGGCGAGGTATGCAAAGAGTGGAAGTGCTTGCTTGAGGTTTGTTGAAGCCCAGCCCAGCAAGCTCGTCAACGAGGTGGGTGGGTGGGCAACAGAGAGAGGCATAGGCGAAGGAGTTGGGGCCAACCCAACCCACACACAGACAGACAGAGAGCACGTGACCAGGTGAGGTAAGGTGCGATAAGCAGCGAGTGCAAGTGCTTTCTATGACGAGCTTTGTAAAATGGCTGTGGCCTTTGAATTGTTGTTACAGGGGAGGGTGGAGGGCACACACGTGCTGTGGAAGGGTGGCGAGTGCAGAAGGGAGGAGGGAGTGTGTGCAGGAAAGACGACTTGTCGGTTGAGTCGACTTGTCTTGCAAGAGTTTTTTTTTTTATTTTATTTTCTTGTGTATCACTCTAATGTTTTGCTTGCTACTTCTTTCCCCTCGCTTTTCTTCTCACCCACCCTCCACCTCAATACCGCTGCCGCTCCACCCTATACAGGGGCATACGAGTCGAGTTCTTACTCGACTCGTTTTGTTTTGAGTCGACTCAAACCTTTTTTTAGCCTTGTTTTGAGTCCACTCGAAAAGCTGCCGCTCCACCATATACAGGGGCATACAAGTCGAGTTCTTACTCAACTCGTTTCAGTGATTCGTTGCCCATGCATTGCCCTAACCACTTGTCTGCCAATCCCACACAGGTTGTTGCATTTTCACCCCACCTCCCTCCCCTTTTCCTCGACTCCCTCCTGTTAATGTTAGCCCTCAATCTCACATTTGTACTTGTACTTTTTATATCCTAACTCAGTGTAGTTTGCACTTTGTGTTTGGTTGGGTGTACACCCACATCCCAACCAAACCTAAATGTAATCTCCAAGCAATCTCCAACCCACCAATTGGAGATTGCCTTATGATTACCCCCAATCCCCCTGATTCTCTCCCCACTCTTACCTTGCCCATTTCCAATGTACTTAAAGAGTCTTGAGCTCATTACTAAAGCATGGATTCTAAGCCCAAGTTCTGACATGGTATCAAAGCGATTCAACCGCACACGCGTATCATGATCCTCTCATCTCAACGGGCTTTTGTCCCACTTTTTCTTCGGCATAGCCACCATCATTTTCGTCGCCGGTGATTCGCGAATTCTTTGGCCGGAAATTATCCCGCGCCACTCTCCCTTCCTTCTCGACGACTTCGCAATTTCTCTGGTAAGCGCATCGTTGGCGCTTTAAATCACACTTTTCTTGTCAATCGTCTTCACTCCATTTCTTCTCGTCGGGCCGCCGCCCGTCGCCCTGCAGCTTCTCGTCGGGCCGCCGCACGTTGCCGTGCATCTTCTCGTCGGGCTGCCGCCCGCCGCCTCGCAACGGCACTTCGCAGCTGAACAGGTGCAGCTGCGCAGCTGAGCAGCCGTGTAGTTGCGAAGCTGAGCAGAAGCGTAGCCGCGAAGCTGAGGGTGGTGTGTGGGGGGGTGTGTGGGAATATAGTTAGCTACCAAAATCGGCCGATTTGACCTACTTTCATCGGCCTTAAAATTCCTTCTACGTATTTCAAAGCGGCAGACACTTAAGCTTTTCGCTCTTCTCATCCCTCGGATTTTTCCTTTGGAAACCATAAACCTCACAATTCTCTTTCATAAACCCAAAACCCCAAGTTCTTCAAATTCTCCTTCAGAAACCCTAAACCTCAAGTTCCTCGGTGACTCAAGAACGACTTTTCACGCGATACCTAAAGGGTTCTTCGCCATGGCCTTCGCCTCGGCCACTCTCGCCAACCGCATCACCCCACTCCGCCTTGAAGCCGACAGCACTAGCTCCAACTTCAAGGCATGGAGCTACGGGGTTGACAAGCTCCTCCTGAGTCGTGAAGTGGGTGGACTTGACCTCAAGGACGTTCTTCTCAATCATGGTTAGGGAAAACAACCCCCATTCCCAAGGAGCCGTCCGATCCATCCGATGCAGTGGCAACCCAGGAGTACGTGGACTCCGTTGCCAAGTACCGCAAGTGGGAGAAGGCCGATGCGGCTATCATTAGTGTCTTCATCGACTCCACTCCTCCCGAACTTGTCAACACGTTCCACAACTACCCCATTGCCAACGCCATCTGGAAGCATCTCCAGGACAGGTTCATGAATAAGACGGCGGTCGGGGTGGCCATCCGCATTCCTAGTATGTTTCAAATCCGCCTTGAGGACTGTCCGGGTATGGCCGATTGCATCGCCAAGGTGCAAACCATCCATGGCGAGCTCAAGGAGCTGGGTATCATCTTCCCCGAACAATCTCCTGCGGCCGCCCTTCTTGTTGACCTCACCTCGGCATAAGAAGTCACAAGGAAAATGCTCCTCACGTCCTCGGCGGAAAACCTCACCTTTGCCAATGTCTCCTCCGCTCTCCTCTCCGCCGAGAAAGACTCCTCGGCCCAAGCTAAGGCCTACGCCCTCCGTGCTCCCGTGCCTCAAGCAAGTGTCACATCAGCACTCGCCTCGGCGTCTTTACAGCGCAACCGCTTGCTTCCATGCACTTATATCGTCAAGTATGGCAACTGCAAGGGACAAGTGTGTGGTGGCACCAACCACCCCCTCGCCACGTGCTTCAAGTAGAAAGACGACGAATGGTATGCCATCCATGGAGTCGACAAGAAACCGCCGAATTGGATGTGTTCTCGTAAGGCCAACGCAGTTGAGGCACTGGACCCCGCTCAGGCTAGTGCTAGTGATAGTGCATCTGTTGATGTGCGCATCAACTTGTTGTTCCCCGGCACTGCCATGATAAATGAAGCAACTTCGCAGTACACCGGCTCATCACAGGCACCACAATACATAGAGTTCACACTCGACAACGGGGCCACTCACATAGTGCTCAAGGAGACACTCTCCTTCAAACCCTACGCAACACCCATTCCTCTTCTGGGAGCTGATTCAAGCTTCACCACTCTTGCCAAGGGTTCATCCACAGTCCCATGCCCCGCCTTCCCATCCGACACTGTCACTGGCATGTGCGTGCCCTCACTACGCCACAGTCTAGTGGCTCAAACAGAAATTCAGGAGGCGGGGTTACGCACCATCTTCTCGGAGAACGAAAACTATTGTGACATCATCTTCTTGGCTCGCTTCACCCCCAATAGCAGCAGCCTTTACACGCTGCAAGTACCTATCCCACAGGTGTCAACCACCCAAGCACAGGCTGCTATCACACCATGCTCATGTCGCAGCTTCTCCAACCTGACCATCCTCTACCACCATCGGCTCGGGCACCCAAACTTCCGCACGCTCGCTGACATGGCCTCCAAGAAGCTTCTTCTCGGCTTGCCAGCCTCACTTCCTCCACCACTTGACTCGCCCGCTCCCACTTGCCTTGACTGTACCAAGAGCAAGCTTCGCCAACAGCCCCACCCTACCTCACCCTCAGTAGCAGCAGCCCCACTGGACCTAGTGCACATGGACGTTTGGGGCCCTGCCCCGGTTGCCGCACGAGGTGGCCATCGCTATTTCCTTATGATAGTTGATGACCACACTCGCTATATCTCTGGAGGTGAATTTTGCAACGACAAGCTCAAAGCCTTCTGCTCTTCCCTTGGCATCAGGCAAAACTTCACCCTTCCTGACAGCCCGCAGCAGAACGGCATAGCGGAAAGCCGCAATCACACACTGACGCAGATCACTCGCTGCCTCCTCAGCCACTCCAACGCACCACTCTCACTCTGCGGGTATGCCCTCTAACTTGCCGCCCTCCTCTACAACCTCTATCCCCACCCGCATCTTCCCGACACCACTCCTACCACACTCTGGCTTGGGAAAACACCCACTGCTCGCCCCCTTCGCGTCTGGGGGTGCACCGCCTATGTACTCCTCAACCCCAAGGCTCGACGGCGGCAAGGTGGCAAGCTTGGTCCCAAAACTCAAACGTGCATATACCTTGGACATAACGCTGACTCACCTTGACTACCTCTTCCTCAATCCCTCCACTCAACAACTCGTCCGGAGCCGAGATGTCGCCTTTGATGAGACTCGCCCCTTCTACTCCGCCTCGGGGGGAGATCCCCTTTCCGGACCACCCTCTCTTGTGTGGGCTGAATTTGGTGCTCCTTCTGAACCTCCGCCTGCACCAACCCCCTCACCTCCTGCCTCTCCTGCCATCGCACCATCCCCGTCTGTGGTCTCTAACCCGACCTCTCCGGTGTCCTCGCCAGCTGCTCCTCCATCTCCCCCTTCTACCACTCTGCCAACTGCAACCTCACCACCAAGCGCAACAATCACATACCATCAGCGGTCGAACCCTCCCGCCCCCCCTCCTCCCTTCGTTCCCTCCTCCACTCAGGAACCTACTCTCCCACAGCCGAGCAAACTAATCACGTACCAACGTCGGCCAATCCCTCCCCCCAAGCCCCCTAAGCCGTCCCCTCCAGGAACGCCTGCTCCACCCTCATCTCCGGTGGCTCATGGCACTCGGTTGCATGGGGCTACTCCTCCACTGGCACTTGCCATTTGATGCTCAGTGATCACTCCGACTCCTCTTGCTGGGGGGGATTTGCCCTCTACCCTTCTGGAAGACAAGCATGAGGAGCTATGTGATCTCCACGCTGTCATTCCTTAGCTTTCGCACATCTTTCCCGATATCACTGAATCCCCCTCGCTCAACTTCTCAGAGAACCCGACCATTCCTATCCCTCTCACCGTCCAAGAGGCTCTTTCGGGTCCCCATGCTGCCGAGTGGCGCGCTGCCATGGAAGCTAAGTGTGAAGCCTTCACCCGCAACCACTCCTTTGACAATGAAACTCCACCTCTAGGAGTTAACATTGTTGGGGGCAAGTGGCTGTTTCGAGTGAAGCAGCTTCCGGACGAGGCACCTGTGTTCAAAGCACGCTATGTGGCCAAGGGATTCACTCAGTAGCAGTACTTTGACTTCTTCAAAACCTTCTCTCCCACATCCAAACCACCCACAGTTCGCATGCTCTTGGATGTAGCCGCACGAGACGACTTTGAGATCAAATCGATGGACGCCTCTTCGGCTTTCCTGCAAGGACACCTCAAGGAGATTGTGTTAATGGACCGACCTGAAGGCTTTCCGGGAGAGTTCCCTCCCAACACTGTCTGGAAGCTGAATCGCCCAGTGTACAGCCTCAAGCAAGCCCCTCGTGAATGGCACAACAAAGTGAAAGAAGTTCTTCTCTCGCTGGACTTTCACCCATCATCTGCTGACCCGGCTCTCTTCATTCGCCGTCACTCTGAGCCATTCTACATCCTTGTCTACGTCGATGACTTCATCCTCGTTGCCAATGACTCAGCCCAGATGGCCTTCGTCTAGGCGGCCCTAAGCAAGGCCCTCCTAATGAAAGACATCGGTGACCTCAAACACTACCTTGGAATGGAGATTACTCGCGATCGCCAGGCTCACACCATCTTACTCTCCCAGGACTACATCAACAATGTACTCAAGCGCTTTGAGATGGAGTTGTGCACACCCATGGCCACCCCGCTGCCACTATAGCACCTCCTCACCGCTCCAGTTGTCCCCACATCAGAGGCCTGCACTGAGCCATACCCAGAGCTTGTTGGGTCCCTCATGTACGCCATGATGTGCACCCGGCCTGATCTTGCATACCCTGTCAACGTCCTCTCTCGATATGTGGCTCCTGGACGCTCCATTGACCTTCACTGGAAAGCGGCAAAGCAGGTGTTGCGCTATCTGCTGGTGGGGTTTTTCCTTCTCGACTGGAAGGGTATACCGACTCCTCCTGGGCTGATGATCAGACCGACCGACGCTCCTCCCAAGGCTACTACTTCACCCTTGGAAGCGGAATTGTTAGCTGGTGCTTCACCCGGTCGCCTGCAGTCTCCCTCTCACCCTGTGAGGCAGAGCTCTATGCTGGCACCATGGCGGCTCAGGAGGCCCGCTGGCTCACCTTCCTACTCCAGGAGCTTGGCTACCCTCAGCCCACTCCCACCCTCTGGTGTGACAACAAGAGCACCATCCACCTCTCCCAGGATCCCGTATACCACACTCGCACCAAGCACATCGAACTTCGGCACTTCTTCATCCGTGACCTTGTCCAGCGGGAGCAGCTCAATGTGGAGTATGTGGCCTCTGACTGCAACTTGGCTGATCTGTTCACCAAGCCCCTTGGGAAGGTTCCTCACCATCGCCTTCTAGGCACCATGGGGCTCTGCGCTCCACCTTCTCTGCCATGAGTTCGATTGATGCCTATGGGGGGGTGTTAATGTTAGCCCTCAATCTCACATTTGTACTTGTACTTTATATATCCTAGCTCAGTGTAGTTCGCACTTTGTGTTTGGTTGGGTGTACACCCACATCCCAACCAAACCCAAATGTGATCTCCAAGCAATCTCCAACCCACCAATTGGAGATTGCCTTATGATTACCCCCAATCCCCCTGATTCTCTCCCCACTCTTACCTTGCCCATTTCCAATGTACTTAAAGAGCCTTGAGCTCATTACTAATGCATGGATTCTAAGCTCAAGTTCTGACACCTCCCACCACCCCCTACCCTTTTCCCCCTTGCAATGCAACCACCACACCACAGGCCTCGGGGCCAAAGCGTGTGGTGAGCGCAGTGGTGTCGGTGGGCGAAATGCTCTTTTTTGCGTTGCTGGTGGGTCCAGAAACGGACCTGGTGGACAACCCCCTTGCTCCAACCCTCTCCCCCCTCATTTCACACCTCCACCACCGCCCTCTCGTCCCTTTTCCCCTCTTCTACAGGCCTCGGGGCCAAAGCGTGTGGTGAGCGCGGCGGTGTCGGTGGGGGGGATGCTTTTCTTTGCGTTGCTGGTGGGTCTGGCAACGGATCTGGTGGCGAGCAAGGTGGATCAGCTGGAGCAGGGCAACGGGGCGGTCATCGAGAGCAACCACACTCTCGTGTGTGGTGAGTTGATGAAGGGATCGGTGTAGCAAGCGAGTGTGAGTGTGGAGTGGAGAGTGTTTCTGCGTGCAGCCCACAGTGCGCCTCAAGGGAGGGTGTCTGGCAACGGACCTGGTGGCGAGCAAGGTGGATCAGCTGGAGCAGGGCAACTGGGCGGTCATCGAGAGCAACCACATCCTTTTCTTCCCTTCTAACTCCCCACCCTGCTCCCATCCCACTCCTTATCTGCCCCACCGCCACCGGTGGTGGAGCTGGCAAATGCTTGACTCTACTCTGTTCCCTCTTTCTTCCCTTGTTTCCCGTCATGAGTCATGACTCATGACCATCCCTCCCTCCCGCCTGCAGGCTGGACCCCCAAGAACATTCCCCTGGTGAAAGCGCTGGTGGAAGCTGGAGAGCGTTTGAACGACCTCTGTTTCCTCCTGTTGCCCCAATCCCAATCCTCATCCCCACCTCCCCTCCAGGCTGGACCCCCAAGACCATTCCCCTGGTGAAAGCGCTGGTGGAAGCGGGGAAGCGCTTGAGTCGACCCTTTCTCCTCGTTGCTCCGTGTTTATAAACCCTCCCTCCCTCCTTCTTCTGTCTTGACTGCTCAGGCTGGACCCCCAAGACCATTCCTCCGGTGAAGGCTCTGGTGGAAGCGGGGGAGCGGCCGTCAGTGGTGGTGGTATTCCAATTTCTGATTACTTCCCCCGCTGCCCACCCCCTTCCCTGCTTAGGCTGGACCCCCAAGACCATTCCCCTAGTGAAGGCGCTGGTGGAAGCGGGGGAGCGGTCGTCAGTGTTGGTGGTTCTGGCAGGAAGGCAGATGCTTGAGTCACCTCAAGAATAATCTCTGTTCCCTCTCTCTTCCCCTATTCGCCTTTATGCTCCTTCTCTCCCTTTCAGGCTGGACCCCCAAGACCATTCCCCTGGTGAAGGCGCTGGTGGAAGCGGGGGAGCGGCCGTCAGTGGTGGTTCTGGCAGAGAGGGAGAGTGTGGATATGGATGGAGAATTGCTGGAGGCTGTACCGGTTGAAGAGCGAGGAGGGATGCGGGTGAGTGATTGAGCGAGGGAGGTAGGGGGTGAGTGAGTGAGGGAGTGAGTGGGTCAAGGAATGAGGGGGCGAGGGCGAGAGATGAATGGAGAACTGCTGGAGGCTGTACCGATTGAAGAGCGAGGAGGGATGAGGGTGAGTGAGAAAGGGAGTGAGGTAAGGAGTGAGGGAGTGAGTGGGTCAAGGAGAAAGGTGGTGAGGGAACGAGGGAGTGAAAGGGCAGGCAGTGGCGGTCAGTGGTGGTGCTGGCAGAGAGGGAGAGTGTGGAGATGGATGGAGAACTGCTGGAGGCTGTACCCATTGAAGAGCGAGGAGTGATGAGGGTGAGTGAGTGAGGGAGGGAGGGAGGGAGGGAGGGAGGGAGGGAGGGAGGGAGGGAGGGAGGGAGGGAGGGAGGGAGGGAGGGAGGGAGGGAGGGAGGGAGGGACGGGAGGGACCGCCTTTATCCCCTTACCCCCATCTGTTTTGGTTTTCTCACCTCAGCTCAGCAGTCTCCCTCCCTTCCTTCAGGCGATGACTCGCCGAGGCGATCCCCTGAAAGCAGCAGACCTCAACCGCTGCTCTGCCTCACAAGCAGCCCCTGTTACTCTCTTGGTTCCTACCCCTTCTCACTCCCAACCATCCCTTGTCCATCCCTCCCTCCCCACCTCCTCTCACTCCTCTCACCAGGCCATGACTCGCCGCAGCGACCCCCTGAGAGCCGCCGTCTTTTGAGGCGCCTCAGAAGCTTCAAAAAGGAGGACGGGAGAAAGGGGGCCTCTCGAGCGGCTCTCGAGCGGCTCTTGAGTGACGGTGTAGCGGCTCTTTTGAGGCGCCTCAAAAGCCATGACTCGCCGCAGCGACCCTCTGAAAGCCGCCGGCCTCAATCGTTTCTCCGCCTCCCAGGCAGCCTCCATGGTCATCCTCTCGCCCCAGCTGCTCCGCCTCATTGCCCCATCTCTTCTTCTTACCCGCATCTTTCTTTCACCAGGTCATGACTCGTCGCGGTGATCTTCTGAAGGCAGCCGATCTCAACCGCTGCCCTGCCTCGCAGGCCGCCTCCATAGTCATTCTCTCGCCCCAGCTGGCCCTGACAGCTTCTGCTTATTGAACCTCGTTCCTCCCTCCTCTCTTTCAGGTCATGACCCGTCGCGGTGATCCCCTGAAAGCAGCCGATCTCAACCGCTGCTCTGCCTCCCAGGCTGCCTCCATCGTCATCCTCTCGCCCCAGCTGCCCTCCCTCTTGTGCTCATTGCACCTTGCTTCTCCCTCCCCTTTTTCAGGTCATGACTCGTCGTGGTGACCCCTTGAAAGCAGCTGATCTCAACCGCTGCTCTGCCTCCCAGGCCGCCTCCATTGTCATTCTCTCGCCGCAGCTACCGTCGCGTCAGCAGGCGGATGCTCAGGTGAAAACAACAGACGGTCAGGTCAGGTGAAAGCGACAGACAGTCAGGTCAGGAGCAAACAACAGACGGTCAGGTCAGGTCAGGTGCAAACAACAGACGGTCAGGTCAGGTGCAAACTACAGACGGTCAGGTCAGGTGCAAACAACAGACGGTCAGGTCAGGTACAAACAACAGACGGTCAGGTCAGGTGCAAGCAACAGACGTTCAAGTGACAAGCTTGGGTTCAAGCCTTAGGATTGTAGACTGTTGTTGGTCAAGTCAGGGTAAGTGGTCAACACTCTGTTGTAGAAAGAGACGATTTTTTAGGCGCCTAAAAAAAAAAGAAAAAGATGTTGACTCGGACTGAGCGATGCCAAGTTAACATGCTCGTTGCTCCTTGCTCATTGCTGCCCAATGCTCGTCGCTCAAGCCCTAAATGCTCAATCAATGCTCTCTCCTCCATATTTCACGTCACACACACCAGGTGCTCCAAACCGCCACGGTGCTTGATGCTCACTGCTCAATGCTCCCTGCTTGATGCTCATTGCTCAATGCTCACTGCTCAATGCTCACTCCTCCATGTTCCATGTTCCACGCCACACACACCAGGTGCTGCAAACCGCCATGGCTCTGGCCGTGCTTCCTGAAATCCAGGGTGACGTGGTTGCTGAGCTGGCATGCCCCGAGAACACAATGCTGCTGGGGAAACTGCATGCGAGTCTCATGATGCGATTGGATAAGGCCAGACAGAAGCACATGCTGGGGTGAGTGAGTGAGTTGATGGGTTGTCTGGTTAGGCTTTCCGAGAGTACCCCTCACTTGGCTTGTCCATGCCAAGAGCATGAACACGATGCTGCTGGGGAAGCTGGGGTTAGTGGATGGGGTGGGTGGGATAACTTGTTTTGCAATGTGAGCTCACACCTGACTTGGCTTTGTCCCGCCCGAGAACACGATGCTGCTGGGGAAGCTGCACGCGAGCCTGATGAAGCGAATGGATAAGGCTAGGTAGCAGCACATGCTAGGGTGAGTGGATGGGGTGGGTGGGATAACTTGTTTTGCAATGTGAGCTCACACCTGACTTGGCTTTGTCCCGCCCGAGAACACGATCCTGCTGGGGAAACTGCACGCGAGCCTGATGAAGCGATTGGATCGGGCCAGGCCAGGCAGCAGCACATGCTGGGGTGAGTGATTGGGATGACCTGCGTTGACTTGTGCTGACTTGCTATGTCGCAATTCAATTGCACTGATGATGCTGGGGAAACTGCATGCGAGCCTGATGAAGTGACTGGATCGGGCCAGGCAGCAGCACATGCTGGGGTGAATGAGTGGGATGACCTCGGTTGTTGTGTGTGAGGCGATGTTTTGAGTCGACTCAAAACACACCTGGACATGCTGGGGTGAATGAGTGGGATGACCTCGGTTGTTGTGTGTGAGGCGATGTTTTGAGTCGACTCAAAACACACCTGGACATGCTGGGGTGAATGAGTGGGATGACCTCGGTTGTTGTGTGTGAGGCGATGTTTTGAGTCGACTCAAAACACACCTGGACATGCTGGGGTGAATGAGTGGGATGACCTCGGTTGTTGTGTGTGAGGCGATGTTTTGAGTCGACTCAAAACACACCTGGACATGCTGGGGTGAATGAGTGGGATGACCTCGGTTGTTGTGTGTGAGGCGATGTTTTGAGTCGACTCAAAACACACCTGGACATGCTGGGGTGAATGAGTGGGATGACCTCGGTTGTTGTGTGTGAGGCGATGTTTTGAGTCGACTCAAAACACACCTGGACATGCTGGGGTGAATGAGTGGGATGACCTCGGTTGTTGTGTGTGAGGCGATTCGGCAGTACACATCTGACCTGGCGTGCGATGAGACGATTTTTGAGTCGACTAAAAAATGGCCAGGCAGCAGCACATGCTGGGGTGAGTGAGTGGGTGGGTGGGATGATCTCGGTTGTTGCGTGTCAGGCGATTGGGAAGTACACATCTGACCTGGCGTGCCCCGAAAACATGCAGTTGCGCGCGAGTCTTGTATATCGAGTTTAGACCAAAGTTCGCGGCACGTGCTGGGGTGTGAGGTGAGTCGGTGATTCAGTGAGTCAGTATGTCAGTGAGACCACTATAAGATTCTGAGGCACCTTAAAAACTAGTCAATGCGCCCCATTCACATCCCCCATCCCCATCCCCATCCCCATCCCCATCCCCATCCCCATTCCCATTCCCATCCCCATCCCCATCCCCATCCCCATCCCCACCCCCATCCCCATCCCCATCCCCATCCCCATCCCCATCCCCATCCCCATTCCCATCCCCATCCCCATCCCCATCCCCATCCCCATCCCCATCCCCACCCCCATCCCCATCACCATCCCCATCCCCATCCCCATCACCATCCCCATCCCCATCACCATCCCCATCCCCATCACCATCCCCATCCCCACCCCCATCCCCATCCCCACCCCCATCCCCATCCCCATCCCCATCCCCATCACCATCCCCATCCCCACCCCCATCCCCATCCCCATCCCCATCCCCATCCCCATCCCCATCCCCATCACCATCCCCATCCCCATCCCCATCCCCATCACCATCCCCATCACCATCCCCATCCCCATCCCCATTTGCCTTCAGGTCAGCATCATTTGAGACTGCTCGCCTCGTCACCCATGCGAGATCAGCATCTCCGGTTACTCGGCATCCCCCCATTCACAGTACCATTGACATCCCAGCCCATTCACATCCTCTCATCCCCATCCCCATCCCCATCCCCATCCCCATCCCCATTCGTACTCCTCTCCAGGTCAACATCATCTGAGGCTGCTCGCGTCGTCACCCATGCGGGATCAGCAGCAACAGCCATCACCACAGCACCATCTCCCTCTGATGCCACTACCACCACTGCCACTGGTGCTACTGCTGCTGCCACGGGCACAACAGCCTCCTCCTCTATCACCACCGCTGAAAGCACTGCAGCTGCTGCCTCTGCTACTACCAGCCACGCTTCGCCGGCCGGCCAAGCCAGGACCGCCTCGCGTGGTTCGTCCTCTTCTGCGGGGCAGAGGCGGCGCAAGCTGGTGCCTGTGGAGACGGGCGGCATGGCCCTGAGAGGGCTGGTGGACCTGGCGCTACAGCCGGCCAGCCATGCTGTGATGGCTGAGCTGCTGGGGTTTCAGGGGGCGGAATTTCACTTCAAAGAATGGTGGGAATGAAGGGAGAATGGGCAGAATGAAGGGAGAATGGGGAGAATGAAGGGAGAATGGGCAGAATGAAGGGAGAATGGGGAGAATGGTGAGAATGGGGAGAATGGTGACTGACTGGTGGACGTTGTGCTATAACCAGCCTGGCACTACAGCCGGCCAGCCATGCTGTGACGGCTGAGCTGCTGGGGTTTCAGGGAGCCGAATTTCACTTCAAAGAATGGTGAGAGAATGAAGGGAGAATAGGGAGAAAAGGGAGAATGGTGAGAGATGGGAACTGTTACGCTACAGCCAGCTGGCTCTGAGGGGGCTGGTGGACCTGGCGCTACAGCCCGCTAGCCATGCTGTGACGGCTGAGCTGCTGGGGTTCCAGGGAGCGGAATTTCACTTCGAGGAATGGTGAGGATGAAGGGAGATGGGATGGCATGGGATGGGATGTGATGAGATAGGATAGCACAGAAAACCACTTCCCAGCACCCTTCCCTTCTGTCTATGCTCTCTCTCTTTTTTCACAGGAAGGAGCTGGAGGGTCGCACCTTTGCAGAGGCGGTGTTTATGTTTGAGGACGCCGTGCCGTGCGGCGTGCAGCAGATGGTTGGCACGGAGGATGAGCGGACTATCATTAACCCACCTGGTGACACCGTGATTGAGGTGAGTGTGATTGAATCGAAGGGATGTAGTGTGACTGTAAGGGAGTGAGATTGGTTGGATGAAAGGAGAGTGATGGAAGGGAGTGTGCCGTGTGGGATTGTACGGGGCGTGACGGATTGGATTGTGATTGAAGGGAGTGTGCTGTAGTGGGCATGGAGGATGAGAGGACGCTCATCAACCCTACTAGCTGTATTCCCCCCTTCACACTCTTCCCCACTCCCTCCTCACCCTCCTTTTCCTCACCTCTCGTCCGCGCCACATCAGCCCGGGGACCGTTTGCTGGTCATCGCTGAGTCAGCAGACAGCTACGCGCCACGTAAGCCGACCGCTGAGTCAGCAAAGGAGCGCGAGCTGGCGGAGAAGCGGCTGGCGTCGTTCGCGACGCCGTGGCACTACGACAGCCTGCCACGTGGCAACGTGAGGCGCCGCCACAACGTGCTGATTGCGGGCGAGTGGAGGGATGACGTGGCCGAGGCTCTCCTGCTTCTCAGTTCCAAGCTGGCTCCCCGTGAGTCTCGACTTTCAATACAGTCACACAGGTTTCGAGACTAGGTAGTTAGAAGTTTGAGAGGTTAGGTAGCTTCATTCTCTCCTTATGATGACGTAGCAGAGGCCCTCCTGATGCTCGGTGCCAAGCCAAGCTGGCTCCCCGAAAGTCTTAACTCGTTCATTCTGTGATAGATACAACATGTAGGTAGGAGCCTACGAAGTCAAGAGGCTAGTAGGTTTATTCTCTCCTCATGGCGTGGCACAGACAGACGTGAAAGAAGGAGTGTTTTGAGACGTCTCAAAACACTCCTTCTTTCACGAGCCTACGAGGTCAAGAGGCTAGTAGGTTTATTCTCTCCTCATGGCGTGGCACAGACAGACGTGAAAGAAGGAGTGTTTTGAGACGTCTCAAAACACTCCTTCTTTCACGAGCCTACGAGGTCAAGAGGCTAGTGGCTTTATTCTCTCCTCATGGCGTGGCACAGACAGACCCTCCTGCTGCTCGGTGCCAAGCTGGCTGGCTCCCCGTGAGTTTCCTTCTTTCAATACAGTCACAGTCCGAGAGTCCCTATCCTATTAATCTCTTTTGGTAACATATGACATGCCAGAGGTTCCCTTTTCCTGCCCACCTTCCCCACACCTTGCCCTTCCCCTCCACACCCTTCCTCCACCCCCCCACTCCCTTCTATTCACCTCTCTGTCCCCCTCTGCCGCTCTCTACCCCCCATCTACCCCTGTCTAACCCCTTGTACCCCGTCTTTCGCCAAGCAGGCAGTCAGGTGGCAGTGATGGTCGCCTCTCCATCCCTCTCAGCGGCACAGCAGCGCCTCAACCCCTTTATCAAATCAGGCAGCCTCAACCTCAACCTCTCGCTCTGTGAGTCAGTCATTCATCGTGAGAGGGAGGGAGATAGCACAATCCGTGCCCGTTCTCAACCGACTTGTGTGAGTGATAGTGGAAACTTCAACACAAACCCTAGCATGTGTAGTCGAGTCAAGCAACCCTTCATCAAATCGAGCAACATCAAACCCCTCTGCACACCGGACGAGGGCCACCTGGGCTGCATGGCCGATCTGGAGAGGGTTCCTTCCTCTAGAGGCCTTCGACACTCTCATCGTGCTCGCCTCCCGCTCACACCACTCCCAATGTGTTCTCCCCCCTCTTCCCCCACCCCCTCCCCAACACGCCAGACCACGGGCACCTGGGCTCAATGGCCGATCTGGAGAGGGTTCCTCTAGAAGCCTTCAACACTGTTATCGTGCTTGCCCCCTGCTCGCACCACGCCTCACCCTTTCCCATTCCCCCTTCCCTTTCCTCCCCTTCTCCATCCAGACCACGGGCACCTGGGCTCAATGGCCGATCTGGAGAGGGTTCCTCTAGAGGCCTTTGATACTGTCATCGTGCTCGCCCCTCGCTCTCACCACGCCTCACCCACCGACCAGCCGCAGACGCGGGACGACGAGGGGGGAGCGGAGCGAGGGGAGGGTGGTGCTAGTGGTGGGGGTGAGGGGGGCGAGGGGGTGCTCATGCCGTCTGCTTCTGTCACTGCTATGATGATTCGGACGATTCAGCGGGAGCGGGGACAGGCGGGAGCAACAGTGCTTGCAGAGAGTGATTTTGCGGTGGAGGGGAGGGGAGAGGGAGGGGAGGAGGGCGGGGGAGAGGGGGAGGGGGAAGGGGAGGGAGGGACGGCGGCAGCGGCGGCGGCAGTGGAAGGGGATATAGTGAAGGAGGTGCAGGGGAGGTGGCTGACTGACAGTATTGATACGAATGCAGTGCACGCGAGGATTTTGGCTCAAACTGCCATGGACCCAGGTGGGTGTGGGTGGGTGCTGCTGCTGATGTGTGAATGAAGCCGTGTTGGGAAGGGGGAGGTGGAAGGGGATATGATGGGAGGAGGTGCAGGGGAGGTGGCTGACTGATAGTGTTGATACGAATGCAGTGCACGCAAGGATTCTGGCTCAAACTGCCATGGACCCAGGTGGGTGGGTGGGTGCTGCTACTGATGTGTGAATGGACCCAGGTGGGGGATGTAATGAAGGAGGTGCAGGGGAGGTGGCTGATTGACAGTGTTGATACGAATGCAGTGCACGCAAGGATTCTGGCTCAAACTGCCATGGACCCAGGTGGGTGGGTGGGTGCTGCTACTGATGTGTGAATGGACCCAGGTGGGGGATGTAATGAAGGAGGTGCAGGGGAGGTGGCTGATTGACAGTGTTGATACGAATGCAGTGCACGCAAGGATTCTGGCTCAAACTGCCATGGACCCAGGTGGGTGTGTGGGTGGGTGGGTGGGTGGGTGGGTGTGTGGGTGGGTGGGTGGGTGGTGCTGCTGATGTGTGAATGAAGCAGCGTTGGCGGTCAGGGGACAGAGGAGGTGCGAGAGAGGTGGTTGACTGACTGTGTTGATAGACAAGTGGTGCATGCGAGGATTCTGGTGCAACCTGCATATTGGACGAGATCGTGAGCGCGACCGTATAAGACGTCTCAAAACTCACACCCATCCCCTACCGGCGCCTCAACACGCAAACCCACCCTTTCCTTGCCATGCCAGATGTCGGCGGCGTATTGGACGAGATCGTGAGCGGGGCAGGTTCATCGCTCTCTTTGGAGGATGCCACTTCTTTCCTTGTGGACGGCGAAGCCCTCTCCTTCTTCGACCTGCAGGTTTGCGTGCATGGCCACGTTGTGCATACACACACGTCCACGCACACGCGCACACACTCACATCACATGGGCACACGCACACAGACATGCGAGCGCACCCCCACAGGCACGCACTCACACACACATACACATAAACAAACACGCACACAAACAAGCATACACACACACACATACACACACACACATACACACACACACACACACACAAACACACACACATACGCACACTCACACAAAATCACACACACGCACGCATGCACGCACGCACGCACTCACGCTCGCACGCATGCACGCGCGTACGTGCGTAAGAACCACCCACATACACACACATGCGCTCATCCATTTGTTTGGCCATATACCTCTACCCATTTGAATCCTTAAGTCGGTTTTTAGCCGACTCAAGGCTCATCATTCTAGTCAATAGTTTTCCTCCATCTTCTCTTCGTCGAATACACCTTCCTCTTACGGTATTGCAGAGTCGGGTTTTGCGCCGGCGGAAGCTGATGATTGCATACAACTGTGCTAATAATGGGGGCAAGTGGCAGCTAAACCCCCAGGATAAGAACAAGCCGGTGGTTTGGCGAGCCGGTGACCGTCTAGTTGTGCTGTCTTCATGATGCATGCTTGAACCGAACTGGTCTTTTTAGGGCTGGATGAATGAAACAAGGCAATATTGATGTTGTAGCAACTTGATCGCTGATATGTTTACCAGATACATACATGCTCAAAGGTGTGCTCTACCAAATTTGCAGGTACTATGGCTTGAATTGTCACTTCATGCTATGGCGTGTCTCAAAATTTTTGAAATCTGAGATTTGCGAACGAGCTCATGCGCTATATCGAGGAGCTTTTCAGTGAGACGTACCTTTCCAGCCTTCCCCTCCCCTTACTTCATCCCTTGACTGTATTTCGACTATCCAATCCATGCCATACGTGAAGTGAAGCATGCATGATTCGCCGTTGATACCCCGCCGAATTTACCACCGTCTCCGTGCTCGCCTCGCGACGCGAATCTCCACCGCGAGCGGTTTAGATTCATCGTGCAACGCGCCAGTTTCGCAACTCCCTTGGGATTGTGGGATTGTTTCAAGAGGAATCGCCTTATCTGCTTAGCGGATTCTATTGTGAGGTGAATTCTGATTTCATCCGTTTTTCGCTGTGCGGATTTTCTTTTAGAGTACATCAGCTGAGGTGATCGATAATTGTTTTCGCCGAGAACCTTTCGCATGATGGCTGCGGCAGTGACGGCGCGGTCCCCGTCGCACGCGTCGGCGTCAGGCGCTTCGGCGGGATGGTTGTGGCCGTTGATCGGCACGGCGGCGTCGATCGCGTTCGCCTCCGCCTTCTCGCTCACTCTCCGCATCCTGCGGGGACTCTCCGCGTCGCGAACCGCCGCGCTGCATCCTCCGCAGGTACGCGGTAGTTCTTTCTGATGCTTAGAGCCTTTCCAGGTCCGTCTTCAGCTCGCGGTTACCCCACGCTACGGCCTCCGCGTCCCGCACTGTTGCGCCACAGCCCCCCGCCCGCGCTACAGCCTCCGTGACCCGCGCTACAGCTTTCGCAGGTCGTGAGTGCTTGGCTTGCTGCTATTTCATGTGTTTCTCCCCGACCCATCCTCGTGCTGGGAGGGGTAAGGACATTGCCTGTGTGAACGACCTTGTGAGAAATTCCCCTCCCCTCCTGGTTCCCTCCCCCACTTACATTTCAAGAAGTATTTTTAATCGACTCAAATAATCCTCCTGGCTCCCTCCCGCCACTTCCATTTTCTTTCCCGAGCGTTACTGTCACATTCCGCACATCCGATCCTTGTTCTGCTATTCCATTCGTATTCCACCGCCCAATCCTAGTGCTGGAGGGAGACGGTATCGACTGTGCGATATACCTGCCGCTTTACATGACGCAAACTTGGTGCTGTTTCCCTGGATTCTTGTTGAAATTTTCAAGCCATTTTTGTGTTGCCTGGGAGAATTGTTACCTTGAACGACTGGCAGGAAATTCCATTCCCTCTCTTTGCTCTCCCTTCTCTTCCATTCCCTCTTCCTCACTTCCATTACTTTTGGCTTCCCTCCTGACCATTTTTGTGCTGGGAGGGGATTGCCAGCAGTGGGACGGGGGCGCTCATTCCTCTCCTTGCTCTCTCTCCTCCTTTATTTCCTCTTCTCACTATCTCCTGCCAGGCCATTCTTTTGTTGGGAGGGAATCGCTATCGGGAACGACTGGCAGGGAGATTCGCTGCCCTGTTGGCTAGCCCTGAGACAGGGAGTTCAAGTTGTGTCAGCAGCAACCACAGCGGTAACACAGGGGTGACTCAGGATAAAAGCACCGGCAGAAGAGATATTGCTTGCAGCAGCAGCGGCAGCGGCAGCGGCAGCAGCAGCAGCAGTGCTGCTAGCAGCCTTGCGTTTGATCCCATCTTCACCTCTTCTCCCAAGCCTCTAGCCAACGGCACGCTCGACCCCCTCCCTCCCGCTCACGCCGCAGCATCCGGGAAGCTTCCGGTGTTCATCTCGTCGGGGAACGACGACGCTGCTGACGTCATGATGCGGGAGGGAGTGGCTGCCGGACGGTTACGGGTGGATAACCACGCGTTGGACACGGTTACCAACTTCACGGAAATGTTACGCACGTTTCAACGGCTGAAAATCACGCATGTGCTGGTGGTTACGTCGGATTATCACATGCCGCGCGCGGCTATGATGGCCAGAATTGTGCTTCAAACGCATGGGATTGCGTTCTCTACAGTCACGCTTCCGAGTAGACCAGAAATCTGCAAGAAAGGAGGGGCAAGCGCAACAACAGTCAAGTATGGGGCAAGGGACAGAAGCGGTGCTGGTACAGGGGTTAAGGGAGGAGGAGGGGAGGAAGAGGAGGTTGAAGAAATCGAAGAGGAATCAACGTTGAGGTTGGAGAGGGACAGATTACGAGGATTATTCTGGTTGGTTACTGGCTGCCACGGCGCAGAGTTTCTGAGGTTCACTCGCCCGGAGCGATACAGGTTGCACAAGCAAAAACCTCTTGTCGTGTGCCCGGTATCAAGGGGGCAGCTATGAGGGGAGGGGATCGCTGTGGTTGGTAACTGGGTGGCATGGCGCGGAGTTTTTTAGGTTCACTCGTCCGGATTGACACAGGTTACACAAGCAAAAACCTCTTACTGTATGCGTGGCCGGTGTCAAGATAGAAGTGAATGTAGGGAAGTGTAGAATGACTTAGGACTAGTACCGTACGAGTGTACCACCTGTCAGTATGTAGCTTCTCATTGTACAGTTGTGTGGATGTGTTCTTGTATTATCTCCTAGCACAAAGAACCCATGAATCCATAGCGAGGTTGTCTTGTCTAACTACACCATTTGTGCCGTCTAAATTGCAATGCTTACTCTATTGGAGACTGAAACACCTGATTTACTTTGCTCAATATCTCAGAAAGCCGAAGCACCCCGGTATGTCTGTATCGGGGAGTGGATGTCTCCTTGACTAGCATGAAGGGGCGACGCGATGCGATGTCCTCCGTCGTGCAGATCGAGGAACTGTAGCAGAGTGGCAGGATACCGTTCTACTCTAGCGGCATATCGTGTCAAGCTAGTAGCGCGTATCGCACCATGGCACTCTTTAGATGTCTCCGTGTTTCACGCAGGTAGGCTAGTTTCGCATAATCGCATACTACGACCGGCCTTCTTGTTTTGTGGCTGGTGTTCGTTTGCAAGAATCATCGCTCCGCGCCTGCTTCGTAACCAGACACACGGCATTTCGCCGCCTGAGTTTTTCCTCGTTGTAGACTTCCCACACTATCGTAGCAGCCGTTTCTTCTTTGAATCGAGTTATGATTCATTATGTCTTCCTCGCGTGCGTGCTGGTCGTTGCGTCTCCGCAATTCGCGGCGGCGCGCACCACGGCATCAGCCGTGGCGATGGGTGACGTGGCAGAAGAGACAAAACGCGCCGCCCTAACCGTTCCACGCCACGTGTCAGCCGAACCCGTGGCCGCCGCGCCGGGCCAGGCTCCGGAATTCTCGCTGATGCGATCCGACGTGGCGGCCAACGCGTCGTTTGCTTACGCGGCAATCCTGTACATGGGCACGCCACGTGACTACGAGTATTACGTGGCGACACGTGTCATGCTGCAGACCGTTCGACGCACGGGGACCGTCGCGGATCTCGTCGTGCTGGCATCTGAGGACGTGCCTGCCACGTGGACCAATACGCTGTGAGCGAACCCTCATCGTTCATTAGACTTCAACCTGGAAAATGTGATGCACGGAGTAAAGTAAATCAGATCGAATCTCGTCATTAATCGGTAGAAGCATCGCTCCCCTCTTCCTCTCCCCCGCCTCCCCCTCTGCCAGCAAGAAGGAGGGCGTGCGGGTGGTGCGGGTGAGCAACATCCCCAACCCTTACCGGGGCAGTGCTGCCTTCAACCCGCGCTTCCCCTTCGCCCTCAACAAGCTGCTCGTATGGCGGCTGAGGGAGTACTCGTGCTGCTGCTGGTGGTAACACCCTCTCCCTCTCCCTCTTCCCCCCTTTCTCCCCCTGTTCCGATCCTCACCTCTGCCAGCAAGAAGGAGGGCGTGCGGGTGGTGCTGAGCAACATGCCTGTCTTCAACCCGCGCTTGTGTGTCAGTCAGTGGTATCATCTCAACCTCCCTTCTTCAACCCCACTTTTGAGTCGACTCAAAAGTCAACTCGGGTGGTGCTGAGCAACATGCCTGCCTTCAACCGCGCTTGTGTGTCAGTCAGTGGTATCATCTCGAGCTGACTTTTGAGTCGACTCAAAAGTCAGCTTGTGTGTCAGTCAGTGGTATCATCTCAACCTCCCTTCTTCAACCCCACTCTCTCCCAATCTCCCCTCCCCCAGCAAGAAGGAAGGGGTGCGGGTGGTGGTGCGAGTCGGCAACATTCCCAACCCCTACCGCACCACTCCCTCTTTCAACCCGAGCTTCCCCTTCACATCATGTGTGCTTCCCCTTGCCCATATTAGCAAGAAGGAGGGCGTGCGGGTGGTGTGAGTGAGCAACATCCCCAACCCTTACCGCACCTCGTCGGCCTTCAACCCGCGCTTCCCCTTCGCCCTCAACAATCTGCTCGCGTGGCGCCTGAGGGAGTACAAGCGAGTCGTGCTGCTAGTGGTAACACCCCTCTTCCCCCGTCCCTCCTCTCTCCCTCTCCTCATCTCCCCCTGTTCAACAGCAAGAAGGAGGGTGTGCGGGTGGTGCGTGTGAGCAACATCCCCAACCCCTACCGCAGCACTGCTGCCTTCAACCCGCGCTTCCCCTTCGCCCTCAACAAGCTGCTCGCATGGCGGCTGAGGGAGTACAAGCGGGTGGTTCTGCTGGACGCTGATAACCTTGTGATGAAGAATATCGACGAGCTGTTCCAGTGTGGCAGCATGTGTGCCGTCTTTATTGACCCGTGCATCTTCCATACCGGGCTCATTGTGCTTAAGGTGAGTCAGCTTATATCAGGAATAAACGTGGGCGGCGCCTGAGAGAGTACAAACGAGTCGTGCTGCTGGATGCAGATAACATCGTAATGGAAGAACGTGGATGACCTGTTTCAAAGTGGCAGCATGTGCGCCGTGTTCATTGACCCGTGCACCTTCCACACCGGGCTGATCGTACTCAAGGTGAGTGCGTGTGTTGTGGGAGTCCAAGCGGGTCGTGCTGCTGGACGCAAATAACATCGTAATTGAAGAACGTGGACGAGCTGTTCCTCTGTGGCAGCATGTGCGCCGTCTTCATAGACCCGTGCACCTTCGATACTGGGCTCGTTGTGCTTAAGGTGAGTCAGCTCATAAAGGGTATGTATGCTGACAACCTTGTGCTGAATAATGTGGACGAGCTCTTCCTCTGTGGCAGCATGTGCGCCATCTTCATAGACCCGTGCACCTTCCACACCGGGCTCATTGTGCTTAAGGTGGCTTACTTTACGTCCAACGACTGCGGCGGACGAGGAGGGCGATTGCGTGGTGGTTAGTCCACCGACTGCGACGGTTGCTGTGATAGAGCTCCGTCGTAGGAGGAGGAGGACGACGACGTGGTGGAGTTTTTTGGAGGTGTCTCAGCCCGTCCTCCCGCATTAGGCTGGCATCCAGCCAGAGTGCCTCCAATGCTGTCAGTTGGCCACGTGCACCATGCTGGCGGACGTGATCGACCCACAAGCATTTAAGGCCAGAAACAAGAGTGCGGTCAACCCTCGCAGCTTCGCTATTCCTGCGTCGGTCATTTTTGTCTCACCAAGATAAAGTGGTTTAAGTACCTTCAGGCTGCTAATACCTTCCAGAGAAGCGCTCGTTGCACACGTCCTCCTCCTCCACCTCATCGTCTGAGGGAGTACAAGTGTGTCGTGCTGCTGGACGCCAATAACTTGGTCTGAAGACAGTTCGTGGATGAGTTGTTCCTCTATGGAAGCGTGTGCGCTGTCTCATAGACCCATGCACCTTTCGTACGGGCCTGGTTGTTTTCAAGGATGCACCCTCCCTCTACTGACGGCTCACCAGGCCCCCTTCATGCTTTTCGCATTCCACCCTCCTTATCTTCCCCACAGCTCCCTTGCCCCCCCCCCCCCCTCAGCCGTCAGTGAAGGTGTTTAAGGACATGATGCAGCAGCTGTGTTCTCTCCCGTCACACACCCTTCTTTCCTACCCTTCCCTCCCCTCCCTCCTAACACCCCCGCCCTCCCTCCCCCCAGCCGTCAGTGAAGGTGTTGAAGGACATGATGCAGCAGCTGCGTTCCCTCCCCTCCTTCCCACCCACCCATGCCCTGCATCCTTATCCCCCCACAACCCCCACCCCTGCTCCAATCCCCCCCAGCCGTCAGTGAAGGTGTTTAAGGACATGATGCAGCAGCTGCGTTCCCTCCCGTCACACGATGCAGCGGACCAGGGCTTCCTCAACCGCTACTTCCCCACGCTGCTCGCCTCCCCGCTCTTTGTGCCGCCTGCTGATGGCTTGCTAGCCCCCCGTTCGTGCCTTCCCCCTTCACCCTCATTCTCTGCCCCACATCCCTCTTCCCTCCCCTCTTCCGTCCCTTTCTTCCCATCCCCAGCCGTCAGTGAAGGTGTTTAAGGACATGATGCAGCAGCTGCGGTCGCTCCCGTCACACGATGCAGCGGACCAGGGCTTCCTCAACCGCTACTTCCCCATGCTGCTCGCCTCCCCGCTCTTCGTGCCTCCCACCGATGGCTCAGCGCTCAAAGGGCAGTTCAGGCTGCCCATGGGGTACCAGATGGACGCCATCTTCTACAGTGAGTTTCTCATTACTAGCACATCCTGTTATGCAAGAGAAAAAGTTGTTTCCCGCTCTGCTCTGCTCGCCTCCCCCCTCTTTGTGCCTCCCACCGATGGCTCGGCACTCAAAAGACAGTTCAGGCTGCCCATGGGGTATCAGATGGACTCCATCTTCTACAGTGAGTGTACTGGAGCACATCTCGTTACAGTCACATGGGCAAGGAAAACAATGCTCACAACAAACACCTCAAGTAATCACATCTTCTCCTCACCCTCTCCCTCCCACCAACACCCTCACCTCCCATCCCCCTCCCCTCTCCCCCCCGTCATTCCTCGCTTCCAGATCTCGAGTTAAAGTAAGAAGCACCTTGCTCCTCCAACACCTTTTGAAGCGCTTCAACTGACCTACCTCTCCCCCTCACCCTCCTCCCCTCCCCTCCTCCTTCCCAGTGATCCTCGCTTCCAGATCTCAAGCTCGAGCGGCAAGTGCCTTCCTCCAACACCTTCTGAATCCCCTCAACAAACTTAGCTCTCCTCCTAACCCTCCACCCTCAAATTCCTCCCCTTCCCCTCTTTCGTAGGCATTAACCTCCCTCTCCCCGTCACCATCCGCCCCCATCCAGATTTTAAGTCATCGCCCACTCCTCCCTCTTCCCTGCCTGCCTCTCCTCCCAACTCTCCTCCTCCACTTCCATCCCTCTTCCCCACTACCCGTCTCTTGTCCTTACTCACCTCTCACCTCTCACCTGTCCCCTTCTGCCCACCCCCCCACTTTCTTTCACTCCAGATCTCAAGTTCAAGTGGGAGGTGCCTTGCTCCGACAACAAGGTCATCACCTTCCCCATTATCTGCCTCTCTCCCTTACCCTTTTCACCCTTCTCCCCTCTTTCCCCGCTCCTCATCCACTCCAGATCTCAAGTACAAGCAGGAGGTGCCTTGCTCCGATCTGACAACAAGGTCACCACCTTGACAACCTACCTCTCCCTCTCACCCTTCCCCCCACCTCTCCCCTCCCATTCCGTCCCTTGCCTCCAGATCTCAAGTTCAGGTGGGAGGTGCCTTGCTCCGACAACAAGATCATCACCTTCCCTGGAATCGCGCACTTAAAGCCCTGGTTCTGGTGGTCCTACCCTCTCCTCGCCCTCTCCCTGCACTGGCACTCCTGGCGCCTCTCCACCATCGCCTACTCCTCCCACCTCTCCCACCTCCCGGCCTGCCTCCCCTCCCACCTCCCCAATTTTTTCCCTCTTCCCCACTACCCACCACCTCCCCAACCTCTGCGCCTTCCCCTTCCCCTACCCTTTTCTTGCTTCCAGATCTCAAGTTCAAGTGGGAGGTGCCTTGCTCCGACAACAAAATCATCACCTTCCCCGGGATCGCGCACTTAAAGCCCTGGTTCTGGTGGTCCTACCCTCTCCTCGCCCTCTCCCTGCACTGGCACTCCTGGCGCCTCTCCACCATGGGCTACTCCTCCCACCTCCCCGCCTGCCTCTCGGCCGGCGTCTTTTGGCTCGTAGTGCTCGCGCTCAGCCACGTCATCGCCCGGGCGGCAGCCGACCCATCCTCGATCCTCTACCGCCTCACCCGTGGATACAGACACGTCGGCGCCGCCCCTGTTGTCTCAGGGATTGGGGGGAGCGCAGCGGGAGGGGGAGCGGGAGGAGGAGGAGGGGGAGTCGGGTCCACTTCTCCTTATTCTCGCCTAGGAGCGTTGGGGACAGGGTTGGGAACGCCAGGAGGGGGGTCGAATGGGGGTGTAGGTGGAGGGGGGGCAACGACAGGCGCAGGAGCAGCTGCAGCTGCTGCTGCTGCTGGGGGAGTATCAGGTCTCCTCTCCTACCTCTCTCCTCGCTTCCTCCTCACACTCGGCCTCACGGTTCTCTCCGCATTCGTCTCCTTCTGGCTCGTGCCGACCACAGTACACCCGTTTCTCGGCTGGTTGCTCTTCACGTTCGGCACCTTTTCCGGACTGTCGCTAGTTAAAGCCCTGGTTGGCGCCACAGCAGCGATTTTCTGGCTGCTACAGTACCTGGTGGTGGCGCTTATCGTCTTGGGATTGCCGGTTTACTCTGCTTTGGCATTTAAACTGTGTGCGATGCACCTGCTTGCGCTTGGAGCAGGAGCGGTGCTGGTGGTGCAGGTGCAAGCGCTGCAGTTTGGGTTTCTCACTGGTGCTGGTTTGGCCCCAAGGCCTACTAGCTCGTCAGGAGGCCGCTCCCTTTTGGATTAGAAAAGTGGTAGGGTAAAAGTGTTTCATTACAAATTGTTGTGGCAAATACTGAATCAGTAAATCCTACCTGATTTTGAGAATTAGGTGCACCAATGCGCTTCTGATGTCTTACCTAGATAAAACAATGTAATCTTGAGGTGGGTGATTTGGTTGCCATCGTTTAGGCATCATATATCATGTCCCTTTTGGAGGGGATGAGAATGAATCATGACATATGCTGACCACGGAAAACAGCTCCGGTATAACTAAACGGGTAAAAAAATTCTTGTCGCGTCCGACGAGACCCTCCCTGACACACTGAAATTCTGGCGGGAAATTGAAACGACCGTTTGAAATTGCTTCAATCAGACGGCAGGTTTAGGAGAAAATAGTAGAGGCCGAAGAGAATACAGCCACTGTATCTAGATTTTATTTTGTTCAATTCCCAAGGTTAGCTGAGCAGGAGCATCTAGAAGCTGGGCCAAGCATCGTCTCGGTTTTTGGTCTTAGAGCATCAGCATCAGAAGTCTTAGTCGCTCGTTGACAATACAGTAGACTTGAGAGAAAGTCTGAGACGTCTTAGAGCCACTTTTTTTGGATAATACAAGATCCCTCTTTCCACGTTGCTTCCGTTTCGAAGCACGGAAATTGAAAGGCTATCATCGTTTAGAACCAAGAAGAGAAAGGGAAGCTTCCACGAGGATTCTGACAGTATCTAGACCTAAAATAAGGTTGTTTCGTAAGGCGATTGTTAGGAAAGGCCGCAGATGAAGCAGATTGGAAGCGTCGTGCCGTTACCAAAAAGCCTACTAGGGAGCTCCTGGTTCCCAGACCACCTAAGAAAAGCGTCTTGGATCAGTACCCTCGGAAACTCCTCTCAAACCACCCTGATTGGTGGAAAAAATAGCCTGCTAGTGACTCCCTTGTCTCCGGGTCACCTAAGAAAAGCGTCTTGGATCAGTCCCTTCAGAAATGCCTCTCGAACCACCCTGATTGGTGGAAACACAAGCCGCGTTTCCGCGCACCTGCGCGATGGCAGTGATGGCGCAGGCGAGAACGGAAGGACAGGCGGAAGGCGGAAGCCGGTTGGCGCAAGGACAGGTCGCATTGGCGGAAGGTCGACTGGCGGAAGGGCGACCGGGGGAAGGGTCATGGGCGCAAGGGGGGACGCTTTGACGGTGGAGTTTGGGGAAGGGCGGAGTGTTGTGCTGGAGGGAGGAAGGCGATTGGCGGAGGTGGGGACGTGGGGAATCGGCGGTCCTGCTGAGTGGCTGGCGGAGGTGACGACCGTTGATGAGATGGCGGCGGTACTTAGGTAAGTGCTTGTGGTAAGGCGCTCGACTTTCAATCAGGGTGGTTGCTTGACTTGAACAGGTCAGTGACAGGAAGTGGGGAGGACGTGGGGAATCGGCGGGCCTGCGGATTGGCTGGCGGAGGTGACGACAGTTGATGAGATGACGGCGGTGCTTAGGTAAGTGCTGGTTTCACTTTGAGAATTGTCAAAAGCGGATTGGCTGGCGGAGGTGACAACAGCTGATGAGATGACGGCGGCGCTTAAGTAAGTGCTTGTGGGAGAGCTCTCAAGTTTGATCAGGGTCTCCAACTACCTGTTCGTTTACGGTCAGAGTGCCCCGTAATGTTTCCTGCACCCTTTCCCTGTGGACTCAGGTTCTGCCTCAGAAACAGCAAAGCTATTTGCGCGGTAGTGACAGGCGAGGGCGCCAACTGCCTGTTTCTCAGTCAGGACTTCCCCCCACACATTCGCGCACTGTGTTCCTGTGCCTCCTCCCCTTCCCCCATCAAGCGCAGGTTCTGCCACAGCAACGCCATCCGCGCGCTGGTGATAGGCAAGGGCTCCAACTGCCTGTTTGTTAGTCGAGGCTATATCTCTTTCCTGTACCCCTTCCCTTCCCTCCGTTGTCTCTCAGGTTCTGCCACAGCAACGCCATCCGCGCGCTGGTGATAGGCAAGGGCTCCAACTGCCTGTTTGTTAGTCGAGGCTCTATCTCTTTCCTGTACCCCTTCCCTTCCCTCCGTTGTCTCTCAGGTTCTGCCACAGCAACGCCATCCGCGCGCTGGTGATAGGCAAGGGCTCCAACTGCCTGTTTGTTAGTCGAGGCTCTATCTCTTTCCTGTACCCCTTCCCTTCCCTCCGTTGTCTCTCAGGTTCTGCCACAGCAACGCCATCCGCGCGCTGGTGATAGGCAAGGGCTCCAACTGCCTGTTTGTTAGTCGAGGCTCTATCTCTTTCCTGTACCCCTTCCCTTCCCTCCGTTGTCTCTCAGGTTCTGCCACAGCAACGCCATCCGCGTGCTGGTGATAGGCAAGGGCTCCAACTGCCTGTTTGTTAGTCGAGGCTCTATCTCTTTCCTGTACCCCTTCCCTTCCCTCCGTTGTCTCTCAGGTTCTGCCACAGCAACGCCATCCGCGCGCTGGTGATAGGCAAGGGCTCCAACTGCCTGTTTGTTAGTCGAGGCTCTATCTCTTTCCTGTACCCCTTCCCTTCCCTCCGTTGTCTCTCAGGTTCTGCCACAGCAACGCCATCCGCGCGCTGGTGATAGGCAAGGGCTCCAACTGCCTGTTTGTTAGTCGAGGCTCTATCTCTTTCCTGTACCCCTTCCCTTCCCTCCGTTGTCTCTCAGGTTCTGCCACAGCAACGCCATCCGCGCGCTGGTGATAGGCAAGGGCTCCAACTGCCTGTTTGTTAGTCGAGGCTCTATCTCTTTCCTGTACCCCTTCCCTTCCCTCCGTTGTCTCTCAGGTTCTGCCACAGCAACGCCATCCGCGCGCTGGTGATAGGCAAGGGCTCCAAGTGCCTGTTTGTCAGTTGGGGCGCTATCTCTTTCCTGTACAAAATCGTTGCCTGCAGGTTCTGCCACAGCAACAGCATCCGTGCAGTGGTGACAGGCAAGGGCGCCAACTGCCTGTTTATCCGTTGTCAGAGTTTCCCTCACACACTCCTGCTTCCCATTCCTTCCCTCCCACCCCCCTCCCATCTCAGGTTCTGCCACAGCAACAGCATCCGTGCGGTGGTGATAGGCAAGGGCTCCAACTGCCTGTTTGAGGACCGCGGGTTCAAGGGGTGTGTGATCGTCAACAGAATCGCGTACAAGCGAGTGGATGGAGTGGAGTGCACAGATACTGCTGCTCCTTCGTCTGTGCACCAATACAGCACCAGCAGCCATATCGACAGCAGTAACAGCAGCGGCAGCAATAACAGAAGCAGCGGCAGCAATAACAGAAGCAGCAGCAGCACTGGTAGCAGCAGCAGCAGCAGCAGCAGCAGCAGCAGCAGCAAGAGCAGCAACGATGACAATGACAGCAGTAGCAGCAAACAGACATCTGCTCAGTACGACGCAGTGGTGCACGTAGGGGGAGGGTACCCGTTCAACCTGCTGGGCGTGGAGTGCTCTCGAGACGGGGATACTGATTCCATTACCAGCTGTCATGGTGCTGAGGGGTACGATGCGGTGGTGCAGGTGGGGGGAGGGTACCCGTTCAACCTGCTGGGCGTGGAGTGCTCGCGAGACGGCCTCTCAGGGCTGGAGTTTGCAGGCGGCATTCCCGGCACCGTGGGGGGCGCTGTCTTCATGAACGCTGGGGCGGACGGGCAGGTGAGACGCAATGGGGGAGTTGAGGGGAATACGGAGGAGCGAGAGTTGGGGCATTTTGGATGCTGTATTCATGAACGTGTAGAGAGGGTGTTTTTGAGACGTCTCAAAAACACCCTCTCTACACGAGGAGCGAGAGTTGGGGCATTTTAGATTCTGTATTCGTGAACGCATGTCCTGCCCTCTTCCTTCTTCCCTCCTGCCTGTTCCTGTCTCTGGAAACAGCGGACTGTCTGCTCTCAGTGGATGTGCGCTCTTCCACCGGCATTCTCCTCTCCTCCTCTCGCTCTGACCTCACCTTCACCTACCGTCACTCGTCCTTCCAGCACACGCCGTCCCTCCTTTCCCCTCCACCTCCCCTCCTTTCTCCATTCCTTTCCTCCCTCTTTTCCTCTGTTTCCCTCTCAGAACAGGCGACTGCTTGCTCTCCGTGGACGCCCTCTTTCCAACCGGCACTCTCTTTCTCCTTCTCTTGCGCCATCACTCCATCACTCCCTCAGGAAACAGGCGACTGCTTGCTCTCCGTGGACGCCCTCTTTCCAACCGGCACTCTCTTCTCCTTCTCTCGCGCCCACCTCACCTTTGCCTACCACCACTCGCCCTTCTAGCACAAGCCTTCCCCTGCCTTTTTCCCCTCCACCTTCCCCACTCCCTCCCGTTTCCTCCCTCAGGAATTATTGGACTGTCTACTCTCTGTGAATGTCCTCTCTTCAACCGGCAATCTTACCCCACTTTCCCCCTCCATCACTCCCTCAGGAAACAGCCAAATGTCTGCTCTCCAACCGGCAATCTCCTCTCCTTCCCTCACTCCCACCTCACATTCGCCTACCAACGCTCGCCCTTCCAGCAAATGCGCTCCCTCCTTCCCTTCCTCCCCCTCCCTCCCTCGCCCCGTTCCCTATGCAAGAAACAGCCGACTGTTTGCTCTCTGTGGACGTCCTCCCTCCCACCGGCACTCTCCTCTCCTTCTCTTGCTCCGATCTCACCTTCGCTTACCACCACTCGCTCTTCCAGCACAAGCCTTTTCCTCCCGCCCTCCCTCGCTCCCCCCCCCCCCCACCCTCCCTCACAGGAAACAGCCGACTGTTTGCTAGCTGTGGACGTGCTCTCTCCCACCGGCACCCACCTCACCTTCCCTCGCGCCCACCCCACTTTCGCCTACCGCCACTCGCCCTTCCAGCACATGCCCTCCCTCACCCCTTCCCCCCTCCCTCCTGCCCTCCATTTCCTCCTCCAGGAAACAGCTGACTCCTTGCTTTCTGTGGACGTCCTCTCTCCGACAGGCACCCTCCTCTCCTTCCCTCGCGCCGAACTCACCTTTGCCTACCGCCACTCGCCCTTCCAGCACATGCCCTCCCTCACCCCTTCCCCCCTCCCTCCCGCCCTCCATTTCTTCCCACAGGAAACAGCAGACTGTCTGCTCTCTGTGGACGCGCTCTCTCCGACGGGGACGTTTCAATCCTTCTCTCGCTCTGACCTTACCTTAGCGTACCGCCACTCGCCCTTCCAGCACATGCCCTCCCTCCTCCCATTCCCCCCTCCCTCCCGCCCTCCATTTCCTCCCCCAGGAAACAGCCGACTGTCTGCTCTCTGTGGACGTCCTCTCGTCAACTGGGGATCTCCTCTCCTTCCCTCGCACCGACCTCACTTTCGCCTACCGCCACTCGCCCTTCCAGCGCATGCCGGACTGTGCTGCCATAGTGGGAGCAACTTTCGGGCTGAAAAGGAGCAGTGAGGCGCGGGACAGGCAAAGACGATACATGGACAGGTGAGAGGCTGCTAGCCGTTGACTCCGTTGACTCGTTAACTCGGGAGCTCGTTGCTTCCCGCAACTCGCCCTTCCAGCGCATGCCGGACTGTGCTGCCATAGTGCAATAATACCATACATGGACAGGTGAGCTGCTTCCCAATATGCTTGCTGCTGGAGATTGTATTTTGTTTCTTACCGGATCCCATCCACATATGTACAGAAAATAACAGTATTTGACGCAGAAACTCAACTTCTGTTGATGGCAGAATTATCTGGCTCCAAAGACACCTCGGGTATTGGGAAGGCAGTGGGACAATCTCACCCTGAGCATCAACCTGAGCATCACCTTGATCCAGGCTGTTGGAGACCTTGGTTGCTATTACCATAACATCAGCCTGCCAGACAGACACAACAGCCCCCTTTCTCCCCAACCTCTGTCCTTTGTCCACTTACTCCCAACAAGCCTTCTTTCTGACCTCCCTGCCAAATCCCTACGAATTCCCCACCCTATTTCTGTGCCAGGCGGCGACAGTCTCAGCCCATTGCTGATCGCTCTGTTGGGTGCATATTCCGCAACCCTGCACCTCCCCTTGGTTCTGCTCCCTGCTCTATCTCTTCTCCTCCTGTGGGTTCCTCACCTCCAGCCGGTTTAGCAGCAGCTGGTGCTTCCGCAGTTACTCTCCCTGCATCTGCAGGTGCTCTAATAGACCGGGCTGGGTTGAAAGGCCTGCATGTTGGAGATGCTTTTGTGTCGCCCATGCATGCTAATTTTCTGGTGAATGGTGGGGCGTGCAGTAGCGAGGATATGGAAGGGCTGATTGTGGAGGTGAAAAGGAGGGTGAGAGAGGAATTCGGGGTGGAACTTGTAGAAGAGGTTAGGCGGATCCCATATGAATGAATATTTTCAGAATAAGGATTCCACTTCAGTGTTCTGCAGAAACTGGTATGTGTACCCCCACAAATGGTACTGCTCAAGATGGTGCAAGTAAAGGGCATATACTTAATCCGTGTAGAGAAGATTGTACAGTGCTGTATCGACGGTTGATAAGTGGTCCCTTATGGAGGACATTTGCTAAACATTCGGTGTCGGTTTGATATTCGTCCGCAGGCACACGGCGTCGGGATTGCTTCCACGAGACGCCATTGACGTGGCACGAGCACTAGGGAGTCGCGTCATCACCCTCGTGGATGATGCACACACACGAGCCCCTCGCACAGAGACATGTGGACGGAATCGCAGCAATCCCCGAAAATTTCAAGATTACCACGTCATACGAAAGTTTCACGCGCTTTGTCAGAAAAGAATATCGGCCTACCCTTCGAAACTCGAGGGGTGTGTTCGAGAACCATCAAGTAGCTGAAAGAAGCAAGCTTAAATACACGAACCAGCACATCGTCAGTATTAAGTAGCAATCAGCAGTTTCCAGTTTCCAACACTGGAACGACTTATAGAACAGGAATGCGCTCTACCATTTTCAGATTTAGTTTCAGCAGCCTATCTCTGAAATATCCAAACAGGCATTACAGGCAGATACCGTAGAAAGTTTATCAGACTCCTAACTGCTTCTCAGTCACGGCATTCTCGAGAGTCGTTCTAGGCTCAGTCATATTTTAGTGCTTGAGCTTGTCGTGCTGCTAACAGCATTTCAACCTTCGACCATGGCGTCTGCCGTCGCCCTTCAAGGGAGCACGTCGACCTCGAGTGGCCTGCTCGCCGCGCCTCGGGTGGGTTCCAGCAAGCCGCGCTGCGCCTCTCTCGCCTCAACCTTAGTACCGCTGCCACGCAAGCTTACCTCTTCTAGAATTACACCCGCGCAGCCCTTTTCCCGTCAAAGGTGCAGCGTCGTTGTAAATGCTCAGGCCCCTCCCTCGTCCACTGAAGACGAGTCAGCCCCGGCTTCGCAACAATCTACAAGCCTCCCATCATCATTCACCGAAGCGAAGACTTCTCTTCTCGACGCTCTTAAAGCCGCAGTTAAGCCAGCACTCGCCGCGCTCCTAATTTCCGCCGTCCTCGCCGCCGGCGCTCCGGACGCCGCACTCGCCGCGATGGGCGGCGGAAGAATCGGCGGAAGCGGCTTCGGCGCCTCCCGCATGCGCTCCTACGCCCCACCCCCCTCCGCGCCCCGCGGCGGCGGATACTCCTACAACGCTCCCCCCGTGATCGTCGGCCCGTCCGTCCCGTTCTTCGCGCCGTCCCCGTTCTTCTTCTTCGGCCCTTCCATCGCCTACGGCGGCGGCGGCGGCGGCGGGATCTTTAATCTCCTCGTTATCGGGATCGTAATCTGGTTCGTGTCGCAGTCAGTTATGGGGTTTCTGAGCTCCGCGCAGGAGGAGGGAGTGTGGCAGGAGACGCAGCGCAGCAGCGTGGTGAGGCTGCAGGTTGGGTTGCTAGGCTCTGCGAGGCGCCTGCAACGGGATCTGGACCGGATCGCGGATCGCGCGGATGCGAGCTCACCCGAGGGCCTTCATTACATCCTGCAAGGTACAGTATCTACTCTACAGTAGTTTACATTGTTGCAAGGTGTGTTAAGGTGTTTTGATGTGTCACTAAGGTAATCCCCCCTCACCTACCACACTTCAAGTGTTCTTCTGTTTCTGTTTTCTCTTGCGTCCTCTATCCTTTACGCGCTCTTCGTTTTTGTTTTTCTTCATCCCAACCTCCGTACACACTTATTTTTTTAGAAAGTAAAAATAACGAGAGACCATATTTCCGTTCGCTGCTTCTCTCTCCCTCGCTTCCTCTTTCCCACTCCCCTCGTCCCCATTCATCAGAGACGGTGCTCGCGCTGCTGCGCAATCCGGACTATTGCATCTACGGCTTCTCTTCTGTAAGTGCTGGGAGCCATGTGTGACCCGAGTTAGGTGCTTCCGTACTTGAGTGTTCTGGCTTAGGACCTAGTGGGTAGCAACCCGGACTGTTGCATCTACGGCTTCTCCTCCTTAATTACTGCAAAATTGAGTGGTCATTATGTGTGACCCGAGAAAATTGTGTTGAGAGGGAAAAGGAGGCAGCGCGTTAGTTTCCATCCATGTGCTGCTTTTAAGTGTTACATGCTCCTTAACCATGCTCTTTTCTGCTTCACCCTTTGCTCCGTCCCCCTCTCCTTCCACCTACAGCAAGTTATGAGGCGCCTCAAATAATCATCTGCTTCACCCCAATCTCCATATCCCTCTCCTTCCACCCACAACAACCCTCCTCTCCCCTCCTCTACCTCTCCCTTCATTCCATGAGCCTTCAGTCACATGGCCATGGGGAGGAAGAGCATTTTGAAATCATTTGTTTTGCTCCCCCTTCCCTCTTCCCCCATCTCCCACATCAACAGTCAGAGGTGAATAACGACTCGTATGTGGGAGAGGCAGCATTCAACCGCATGAGCATGGAGGAGCGGAGCAGGTTCAAGGAGGAGACCCTGGTTTCCCTCACCCTCCTCCTCCCTTTCCATCATTCCCAACCCTTCAGTCAGAGGTGAACAATGACTCCTTCGCTGGCGAAGCAGCGTTTAACCGCATGAGCATGGAGGAGCGGAGCAAGTTCAAGGAGGAAATCTTGTTTCCCTCAACCTTCCTCTCCTGTTCCCCCGTCAACCCCTCATACCTACAGTCAGAGGTGAACAACGATTCATATGCGGGAGAGGCAGCGTTCAATCGCATGAGCATGGAGGAGCGGAGCAGGTTCAAGGAGGAGACACTTGTTTCTGTCGTTCAACCTCCCCCCTTCCCCCCTCCATACCATATCTCCCAACAATACAGTCAGAGGTGAACAACGACTCATATGCGGGAGAGGCAGCTTTCAACCGCATGAGCATGGAGGAGCGGAGCAAGTTCAAGGAGGAGACACTGGTCAACGTGGACGGCATCAGGCGGCGAATCACGCGCAAGCCCAGCCAGGACCGCATGAACTCCGAATACATTGTGGTATGTAGTGTTGTGGGATGCTGAGTGTATACTGTGGGGAGTTTGAGTGTATACTGTGGGGATTTTGAGTGTATACTGTGGGGAGTTTGAGTGTAAACTGTGGGGAGTTTGAGTGTATACTGTGGGGAGTTTGAGTGTACGTTGTGGGGAGTTATAGTGTATATTGTGGGGAGTTTTAGTGTATATTGTGGGGAGTTTTAGTGTATATTGTGGGGAGTTTTTGTGTATATTGTGGGGAGTGTTAGTGTATATTGTGGGGAGTGTTAGTGTATATTGTGGGGAGTGTTAGTGTATATTGTGGGGAGTGTTAGTGTATATTGTGGGGAGTGTCAGTGTATATTGTGGGGAGTGTCAGTGTATATTGTGGGGAGTGTCAGTGTATATTGTGGGGAGTGTTAGTGTATATTGTGGGGAGTGTTAGTGTATATTGTGGGGAGTGTCAGTGTATATTGTGGGGAGTGTCAGTGTATATTGTGGGGAGTGTCAGTGTATATTGTGGGGAGTGTCAGTGTATATTGTGGGGAGTTTGAGTGTATATTGTGGGGAGTTTGAGTGTATATTGTGGGGAGTTTGAGTGTATATTGTGGGGAGTTTGAGTGTATATTGTGGGGAGTTTGAGTGTATATTGTGGGGAGTTTGAGTGTATATTGTGGGGAGTTTGAGTGTATATTGTGGGTAGTTTGAGTGTATATTGTGGGGAGTTTGAGTGTATATTGTGGGGAGTTTGAGTGTATATTGTGGGGAGTTTGAGTGTATATTGTGGGGAGTACGAGTGCACGCTGAGGTACGTAGAGTTGTGCCCGCGCACCCCACATGACAGTGCTGGCAGCACAGCAGAGGGCGCTTTTCGCTCTTTGCAGAGGGCACTTATGATGCATCCATTGCGCCAATTTTCACAGAATGTCCATACACACTCATCCTTGCCTTTCTGCTGATACACATTGCAGGTGACAGACAGCGCTGGCAGCAGCAGAGCACTTTGGTCCTTGTGGTTTCTCTGCGACCAATTCTGAATTTTTGCCAACCAAATCCATTCCTCCTCACATCACGTATGCACAAACTTGCAGGTGACAGTGCTGGCAGCAGCGGAGGGAACGTTTCGGCTACCGGAAATAAAATCTTCGAGTGATTTGAGGGAAGCCCTGACTCGCCTCGGCTCTGTCCCTGCTGATGAGCTTCAGGTGAGTTCTCATGAATTTCAGGCGTGTTCGAATGAGTTTCAGGGGAGCTCATTCTAGCTTAAGTGTGATTTGATGAGCTTCAGGTGAGTTTTCATGAATTCCAGGCGTGTTCAGGGTTTCATAAGCCCCAGGTGTGCCGATGACCTTCGGGTTTGTCTAGATAAGCTTCTAGTGGACTTCAGCGAGCATTAAATGTGTCATCTTCCACAGTATGAGGCTGGATTTCCTTCTTCTCTTCTCACATGTTGCCTCGTTCTACTCCCCTTTCCCTTTCCCTCAAACATGGGCCTTTTTTTCTACATCCTCCCTCCCTCCCTCCCTCTCCCTCACGCAAGTGACGTTATTCTGCTTCCTCCCTCCCTCCCTCTCTGCTCTTCTTGACTTCTACCTCCTCTCCTCCCCATCCAGGCGGTGGAGGTCGATTCTTGAGTCGACTCAAAAATCGCCTCATCCAGGCGGTGGAGGTGCTGTGGACGGCCCAGGACGATGAGGAAAGGCTCACGGAGCGCGACATCAGATGCTTGTTGGCTTCTCTCCTTCCCACTCCTGCTCCCTCCCACTTCGTTCCCTCCCCTCCTCTCCCACATCCAGGCGGTGGAGGTGCTCCGGATGCCTCAGGACGATGACGACACCCCCACGGAGCGCAACATGCTTGTTGGCAACAACCCTTACCGCCACCTCTTACCCCACCTTGTTCTTAACCTTTGCCCTCTCTTCCTGTCTACCAGGCAGTGGAGGTGCTCTGGATGGCTCAGGAAGATGACGACTCCACCGTTTTTTAGCCGACTCAAGATGACTTTTGAGTCGACTCAAAAGTCACCTCAGGAAGATGACGACTCCACCGTTTTTTAGTCGACTCAAAAACATCCCAACGGAGCGCAACATGCTTGCCGGTTTCCCTCCTTCCCATCCCTGTTCCCTCTCACTTCGTCCTCTCGCCCTTGCCAGGCGGTGGAGGTGGTGTGGACTCCGCAGGACGATGAGGACACTCTCACAGAGCGCGACCTGCTTGTTGACTTCCCTTGCCTGCGGCCCTGCTCCCTCTCTCTTGCCGTACAACCCTCACTTCTTGTCCTCCAGGCTGTTGAAGTGCTCTGGACACCTCAAGATGACGAGGACACTCTCACAGAGCTCGACCTGCTTGTTGACTTCCCTCGCCTGCGGCCGCTGTGAAGGAGTTGATAGATACCCAGTTGATACTTCCAGCTATTGCCTTGTTCGTTGTGATGAGGTGGCAAGAATGAGCACAGCAACGCACCTACTATGTGAAAGGGGACCAGAATGAGTGGAGCAGAATCAGAGGGGCTTGTGCCCTGCCTGTACCTGTTGATCAGTGAGTGGTGACTTCTAAAAGAAAAAACGTGGTCGGTTGAATGGGTGGGCCATATTTGCAGATTGTGCTGTGATTGTGGTGTAGTAAAAGCTAGTTACAAGTGATGTACCAATTATAGTTATGCAACAAGGATTTCACTTGTTTGTATTGGTTCATGATGTCACTCATTACAGCGAAGGGAGACAGGGTTTCATTAGAATGAACTGAGCAATTTGCCATGTAGCAAGGCAAAAGACTAACTATTTAATTTTGTCACAGAGCATTGCAAATTGTAGCCAAATGCAAAGGAGCACCAATGGAAACCACTGCTGGATGGTAAAATCGTACGCAATGGTTTTACTGCGTTCTAAAAGGTAAAGGCTAAATGTGGGTGGAAGCTTTTTGCCATAGAACAAGGCATTTACCAGTACATTACTGGCTAAACCCAACATCGTAAAACAAATAACCTTTAAATAAATATTCAATTATTGTACACAGATACAGCTATGCAGTGTCTATCTAATGTATCCCATTATTATCTCAATCCACCAGCCCTTATGGCCTCCAAGGAGGCCTTATTGCCACTACCCTTGTCATTCTTGAAGGATCCACCCTCCTCCCAACCCTCACACCCCCAGCTTGCTCCTGCTGCTTCTTCTTGCACTCTGATGCTGCGAACCCAACTTGCTGCTGCTTCTCCTTACTCTGTGATGCTGCCGAACCAACTTGCAGCTGCTTCTCCTTGCTCTGTGATGCTGCCGAACCAACTTGCTGCTGCTTCTCCTTGCTCTGTGATGCTGCCAACCCAGCTTGCTGCTGCTTCTCCTTGCTCTGTGATGCTGCCGAACCAACTTGCTGCTGCTGCTTCTTCTTGCTCTGTGATGCTGCCGAACCAACTTGCTGCTGCTTCTCCTTGCTCTGTGATGCTGCCAACCCAACTTGCTGCTGCTTCTCCTTGCTCTGTGATGCTGCCGAACCAACTTGCTGCTGCTGCTTCTTCTTGCTCTGTGATGCTGCCGAACCAACTTGCTGCTGCTGCTTCTTCTTGCTCTGTGATGCTCCCGAACCAACTTGCTTCTGCTGCTTCTCCTTGCTCTGTGATGCTGCCGAACCAACTTGCTTCTGCTGCTTCTTCTTGCTCTGTGATGCTGCCGAACCAACTTGCTTCTGCTGCTTTTCCTTGCTCTGTGATGCTGCCGAACCAACTTGCTGCTGCTTCTTCTTGCTCTGTGATGCTCCCGAACCAACTTGCTGCTGCTTCTTCTTGCTCTGTAAGGCTGCCGACGCTCCCTTGATACGTCCACCAGGAGGAGAGTCCACACGACCTGAACGCGAGTTCTGTGCACCGAATGCCAAGCTTCCAACCCTCACGTGCTGCTGCATCTTACTTTCTGCTACTGCTGACCCCTTCTTGACACCTCCACCAGAAGGAATAACCAAAGCTCCTGAAGGCTGCTTCTTGTCCTCACACACCACACCTCCAGCCCTACCCGGCATCTTCATCCCAAGTGCTGCTGAAACTCCTTTGAGAGCCTGGAGAGCTCCAACAGAAACAGTCACCATCGTTTTCTCCACCATAGCTGGCTGAAGCACTGCTACTCGTGTGCTGCCAGGTCTGGGACGCCGTGTAGGGGGCAGTCTCCAACTGGCTGCAGGCGTTCCCCCGACCACGCTCTGGTCTGCACCCAGCAGACCCATCCGTGATGCAAGATGCACAGCAGTTACCACGTTCTTACTCACTATAAACGAAACCAGCAGAAGCACCAGGTCAAGCAGCAACGAACTGTCACTGTACTGCTTGCTGTAAGTGCTGTAGCAGTTGAACCTGTAGTTGCTGCAGCAGAGGCTGTTGACAGCAATGTCAGTGGAAGGCTCCTCCTGGGAGCTCTGGCCGCTGCTGCTGCTGTCACTGAAGCAGCTGCTCATGGTAGCGTCACTGCTGCTTGGATCAGAATCGCCCTCTGCAGCCATAAACAGTGAATAAACCTCCTCTGCAGCCTCTACTTCAGCTTGAGGCACTTCCTCGTCCTCAGGAGAAACGACCCACGAGTCCTCGTCCTCCTCAGCAGCCAGATTGCGAACTTGGGAGACCATCCAAGCATCATGTTGAGCCTGCAGCACAGCATGACGATGCGCCTGCATCCAAGCATGACGCTGCGCCTGCAGCAACGCTGCCTTTTTTTCCCACAAGGCCATAGCCTCGGCGAACGTGGGACCGTCAGTAGACGACCGAGCATAGCCCTTCATCCGGATCAGAAATCCGCGCTTCTCCCAGAGGGCCAAACGATCAGCAATGGACGGAAAGTCAGAAGAACAAGCCATCAAGCTAACCGAGCGTGAGTGCGAGTAAAAGCAAGGCTAAACGCTAAGCGAAGAGGTTCCGCGAGAACGATATTAAGAACGAATTAACGTTATGAGAGGTCTGAACTTGCTAGAAAAAGGACCAATCAACAGAACAAGAAGAAACTGGATTCTTAACTCTGAAACTAAGACTTCAGTGCGTTGGATTTGTAGATGAGACGAGCAGCAGGAGAGAGAGGGACGAACGTTGTGTGGAGGGGACACTCACAGGAAGGAGACAGGAAAAAGGTAGGATTCTTTCTCGGTTGCTGCCCGAGCACCTCCGGAAAATCGGAACCGTGCTCTGGCATGCTGCCCAGCGCGAAGTCTACTGAAACCGCGAAAATGGGAACGAATCGGCTGGTGAACCGATTCTCACCGAGGGTCTTCGCATAGGAGCGACGCGACAGAATCTATTTTTTGCTAACCCCGATTCTATCGTGTCCTCCCCCCTCCCAAAACGTTTTCCGCTGCGCGCTAGCGGAGCTTCTTTCCTACAAAGTCTACGGCATGAAATTATAAGTTTCGCCTGCCCGACCGCACTCGAAGCGCTGACGAACCTCTGAGGTACTCCCATTCTCGAAAATGTCTAAGGGCGGTGGTGTGGCGATGGGCCTCCCGCAATTGAAGGAAGACAGGCTTGGTGCGAAGTTCTGAATCTGTGAAGAGGGATGAGATCGAGGTCAGAATGGGTGGATTCGTACTCCCTAGGGAGCTCCTCGTCCTTAACTTTATGCATTCTCAACCATCAACACCATTTTATCCATATTTGTACACCAATATCCTGAAAATCGGAAGGGCTGTAAGTATGCTGCGAAAACAAAATCAGCAAACCAAAACACCATGTTTGTTCCCTTTGATTAAAATGATTATTTTATGGATTGTGCACGGTTGCTGCTGTGTGAATTGTGAGGTTGAGTTGTGTTGGTGTTAAAATTTCAAATGCTGATATAACTAGTAAGAACTGTTTTGGCGCGTTGCACTCACTCAGCCGAACTGCACCACTGATTCTCCTTGGGCGCGGGCTCGCTTTCCTCACCCGCTGGTTCCGCATTGCGCGTTGCGCTCACTCGGCCGAACTGCACCACTTCATGTTCATCAGTCAACCTCTCCCAAATCTGGCATCGCTCGCGCCTGCAATGCGAGGCACAACACCTAACTTTCCTTGCCTGCTCGTTCCCGTCACCTCCGAGTCGCGCTGACGCCGGTCAGCAGCCATTATCCAATGCTCGCGTGACGGTGCAATCGCTGTTCTCTCGAAATGGGTCGCGCATGGGTTTGCTGCAGCAGTCACGATCGCTGGAAATGTATTATCGAAGCAACGATCACGGCTTCATTGCAAGGCGGAAAAATCGGCGGAAGCGGCGGCTTTTGCGCCTCCCGCGTGCGCTCGTACGCTCCGCCGCCGCCTTTAGGATGGATTTCAGAGACGGCTAGCCGCTTTCAGCAGGTTCTGGATCGAATCGCGGATCGCGCGAATGCGAGCTCACGGAGGTCCTTTACACATCCCGCAACGTACATCGTTTTGCGTTATTTTCCTTCCCGCGTAACTGTTTCTTTCGGTTTCGCGTGCCAGAAATCCTGTGATTGACATGAAGTGTTTCCCCTCACCTGCTGCACCCCAAGTGTTCAGCTGTTCCTCTTTCTCCTTTCCTGTGTATTCCCCGCCGCCAACTCGCTTCCTCGCTCGCTTCCTCGCTTTCTTCCTGATTACCTTCGTCTGTCCCTCTCATGTATTCACAATCCCCTACATCCTTTATTTCTCATCCTCATTCCCTTCCTCTTGTTTTCTCTTCATTCCAGACGCCATTATTCAACAAAAACGTGCTCGCGCTACTGCACGACCCCCATATTTCCCTCTGTTCATCCCGATGTTTCTCTCTCTCTTCCTCGCCCTCACTCTCCTCACGCCCATCCATGAGAAACGCTGGTCGGCTCGGGTGATCTCCCCAGCTGCCTGCCTCCCTGTCCCTTACAGCCTGCGGAGGAGAAGCTGTAGATGCAGTGGGGTGGGATGCGGTGTATGCTCGGGTGATCTCCCCAGCCGCCCGTGGGTCCGTTGCCCGTCCGCCGCTATTTGAGCCGCGGGGCCTATTACTCCTGTAGTCCGGGCGTTGTCCGGTAGCCGCTGTGCCAGTCTGCCTCCTGTTGCCCGTGTGTCTGCAGCTTCAGTCGTCGCCTCCTGTCTCCTCTCCCCTCACTCTCCCTCCTCCTCCTCACTTGCCCGTTGTGACTACCACTAGCTTTGCTGATAATTGTGCACCTAAACTATGGCTTCTAAGCCTACCTTTGCTTAAGATTCTGAGATGGTATCAGAGCTTAACGCTCCTGGCCTGTGGGCCCACTCGATTCCGCTGCCCTATTGTGTGTCGTGCGCCCCGTGGCGCACGACCACCTTTTTTTCTTCCCGCCACGCGCTCGGGGCGCGTGGCGGTTTTCTGCCCGCCGTGCGCCTCGAAGCGCGCGGCGGGTACCTACCTCGTCGCGGCGTCTTGGGAGCCCGCGCGCTGGCCCCGACCGTCGCCTCGTCGCGGCGTTTTGGGGGCCCGCACGCAGGTCCCTCCCGTCGCCTCGTCGCGGCACTTTCTGGGCTCGCGAGCCGGCCCCTCCCGTTGCCTCGTCGCAGCGCCTTAGGGGCCTGCGCGCGGTCCCCTCTCGTCGCCCGTCGCTGCACTTTCGGGGACCTGCACGGCTCCCTAGCACGTCACCCTTCAGGGCACAATGGGGGCCGCGCCCTTGCCCTCCCCTCCGTCCTACTTTCCGCTGCAGCAGCACCAACAGCTGCAGCCCCTGAAACAGCCACCGCAGCAGCAGCAGCTCCAGGAGCCGCCGCCCCAGCAGCAGCCCCTGGGGCCGCCCCAGTAGCAGCAGCCCCGGGAGCAGCCGCCCCAGCAGCTGCTGCCTCTGGAGCGGCCACCCCAGCAGCAGCAGCTTGTGGAGCAGCCGCCCCAGCAGCAGCAGCCCCGGGAGCAGCCGCCCCAGCAGCAGCAGCCCCTGGAGCCGCCCCAGCAGCAGCAGCCCCGGGAGCAGCCGCCCCAGCAGCAGCAGCCCCGGGAGCAGCCGCCCCAGCAGCAGCCAATGGAGCAGCCGCCCCAGCAGCAGCTGCCTCTGAAGCGGCCACCCCAGCAGCAGCAGCCCCTGGAGCCGCTGCTACTGCAGCAGCCACCCCACCAGCAGCAGCACGTGGAGCAGCAGCAGTAGCAGCAGCCCCAGCAGCTGCAGCCCCTGAAACGGCCACCGCAGCAGCAGCAGCTCCAGGAGCCGCCGCCCCAGCAGCAGCCCCTGGGGCCGCCTCAGTAGCAGCAGCCCCGGGAGCAGCCGCCCCAGCAGCTGCTGCCTCTGGAGCGGCCACCCCAGCAGCAGCAGCTTGTGGAGCAGCCGCCCCAGCAGCAGCAGCCCCGGGAGCAGCCGCCCCAGCAGCAGCAGCCCCTGGAGCAGCTCCAGCAGCAGCAGCCCCGGGAGCAGCCGCCCCAGCAGCAGCAGCCCCGGGAGCAGCCGCCCCAGCAGCAGCCACTGGAGCAGCCGCCCCAGCAGCAGCTGCCTCTGAAGCGGCCACCCCAGCAGCAGCAGCCCCTGGAGCCGCTGCTACTGCAGCAGCCACCCCACCAGCAGCAGCACGTGGAGCAGCAGCAGCAGCAGCCGCCCCAGCAGCAGCCCCAGCAGCGGCAGCCACTGGAGCAGCCGCACCAGCAGCAGCCGCCCCTGGCCCCTGCAGCAGCCGCTCATGGACCAGGTGCAGCCGTGGGGGGTGAGTGTTGGGGTGCTAGTTGTGGGGGTGTCGGTTGTGCGTGCCGTCCCCTCCTCCTCCTCCTCCTTCGTCTCCCACTGCTACAGCTCTCGCTGAGGGGGGTGGATGTGTGGGAGACTGGGGTTTAGGGTTTAAGGTGGGGTGGGTGGGAGTGGAGCTAGCGGTATAGCAGCGGGTGTGTGTCGGGGGGTGGGAATGTGTGCGGGAGGATGAGCGGAGGTTGCCAGTCTGTTGTCCGCAGCACCTGTAGTCCGGGCGCTTAGTCCGGTAGCCACTGTGCTCGCCACTCCTGTTGCCCGTGTGTCTGCAGCTTCAGCCGCCGCCTTCTATCTCCTCTCCTCTCACTCTCCCTCCTCCTCACTTGCCCGTTGTGACTACCACTAGCTTTGCTGATAATTGTGCACCTAAACTATGGCTTCTAAGCCTACCTTTGCTTAAGATTCTGAGAGTGGGGTGGGATGCGGTGTATGCTGAGGAAGGCATCAAGGTATGGGAGTGAGTTCGATGGAGAGGGGAGTGGGAGAGGGGAAAGCAGATATGGGATGGAGACGAAGGGGGAGAAATGGTTGAGAGAGGAGAGGGGGTAGGCTGTATGGGACAGTGAGACAGGCAGGCGAGGAGGATGTGGGATCGAATGAGTAGAAATGCTTCATCGTTTTAGTTTTATGTTTTACAAGCCACAGTGCTTTTGCGTTTGAAGATCAAGCCGCCTCATTTCTGTCTTGACTTGTCGCAGGTGAAAGTGCTGGCAGCAGCACAGCAGCGGGTGCTTTCCCTCACTTCCAGAGATCAGATCTTTCAATGACCTGAGGAGGCCCAGACTCGCCGTGGCTCCATTCCTGCTGAAAAGCCTTCAGGTGACTTTCTGGTGTGTTTTGATGAGCTTCATGAAATAAGATGAAATCATCTCTTTTTGCCAGTTGAACCTATGTTGTCTCGAATAGCACAGTGTTGGTACTACTTCCACAGAATGAGGCTTAGTGTCATCTTTCCCTCTCCCTCATCTTCCCCTTTCCCTCGGATGGACTGCCTTCGTGTACTGTTTTCCTTCCGCTCCCTCACACGCGTGGCCTGCTACTTCCTCCCTCCTTTTTTTCAAATGGTTGTCTGAACGCCTCACAACAGTGAAGCACCCTCTCAGGCAGGACATGTCACGAACCCTCCCCCTCCCTTTTTTCCCCAATTCTCTCCCCTGCTCCTTTGTTCCACACCTCTCCTTCCCATTCATGCAGTCAAGGTGCTCTGGGCACCTCATGACAGCGACATACCTTCACCCAGAAAGACCTTTCGCAATACCTCTCGCCCTCCTTTTTTTTCATCTTCTCTCCCTTCTTCCCTCCCATCAAACGAGGAGAACACCTTCACCCAGCGGGATCAGCCATGATCTACCTCCCCCCTCCCCACAGTTCCTTGTTCCTCCGTCTAACTCCTCCTCACTCCCTCTGTCTGCCAAACGATATAGGTGCTCTGGACATTACAGGACGACGAGGCCACTCTCTTAAAACGCGACATGCTTGTCAATTACCCTCCTTCCCGCCCCTGTTCCCTCTCACTTCCTCCCCCCTCCCCATCCAGGCAGTGGAGGTGCTGTCTCAGGACAATGAGGACACTCCCAGAGAACAGGACATACCTGTTCACTTTCCTCCTTCGCACACCTGTTCCCTCTCTCTTCATCCCCTCTCCCTTGCCAGTCGGTGGAGGTGTTGTGGACAGACACCATAAGTCGACGAGGACACTCTCACGGAGCGGTACCTGCTTGTTAATTTCCCTCGCCTGCGGCCGCTGTGAATTAATTGTCTCCAGTCGACGACTCCAGCCATTGCCTGGCGACTGGTTGTTGTGATGAAGCGGAAGGAATGAGCACGGGGCACCTACTACCGTATGTTAAGGACCAGAATGACTGGAGTGGAATCAATGGGGACCAGTGCTGCTGTCTCTGCCCGTTGACTTGTTGATGAATGAGTGGTGGAGTTTGGGTTAATGAAAGGAATGAAACAAGTACGGTACGGTCCATGGTTGCATGCTTATGGTGTGGTACAAGCTAATAATACGTGTTACAGTTTGTATTGGCTCAGGGAGTGACTTGTTACGATGGTTATGGAAAAGATGCTGTTCGTGTATAATGTAGCCGCGTTTTGTATCAATAATAGAATCCAAGCCATGGCATTTTGTAAGCAACTTCCAAAGCACATCCCTAGAGATTTCTGACACTTGTGCGTGTGCTGAGCTCTAATTGTTTCGAGTTCTCTGTATTGAGGACCGTTTTAGCGCGTTTCTCTCACTCGGCCGAAGTGCATGACTCATGCAGAAGCGGGATGTGACATTTTATTCGCAGATGGCTTTTTCTTGAACTAGTCCGGCTTTGTTGCTGACGACAGACGACAGGCAGTAGGTCGTTCCTGTCACCTCCAAGTCACGGTGACGCAAGTCGACAGCCATTTCCAATGCCCGCGTGTCGGCGTGGTCGCATTTATCTCGAAATGGGTCGCGCATGGGTTTGCAGCGGCAGTCACGATCGCTCGAGGGGTATTTTCGAAGGTAGGATGGCGTCTTCACTGCAAGGAGTTTTGCTGCTTTCAGAATCTTTTTACATCAGCGATTTGGAAGGGTTAGTGTTTGCAGGACTCGATAATGGGCCATCGAATGAGCTCTACTCGAAGAGTATCTGTCGTTTCACATAGGCCTGCGAGCTATTCTAGCCATTGTGCCGCGTCTGAAAGTACCGCTGCTGAAGATTCTGAAAGAAACGCTCCATGTGAGCCTACGAAAAACGATATCGACAACAAGACGAGCATCGTTCCGGTAGATTCCCCAAGATTTAACTTCTCGACCGTAGATACAGAGTTCCGGGTGTGGGAGTTTCCAGGTTTGCTGTCGGAAGACGAATGCAGAATTTTGATCGAATCAGGAAGCGGCCGATGGCAGCGGAGCCGAGTCCAGGTCAGCAATCTCTCCCGCATGTACTCCCATGTCGTGTTGCCGACTTCAGCTAGTACTTTTCAGATTCATTGCTTTCATCGCTTCACGCATATTTGATTTCGTTAGCTTAACCTGATCTCTGTCGTTTCTGCAGAAAGCAAACAAGGGGGATAGTGGACTAAGCGACTATAGAACCAGCAGGTTCGTATTTCATGTTGCTGCCTTTTCTTCTGTTTTGCTCTTGTTTTCCTCATGATCCGCCTTCTGATGACATACTTTCGCCTTGCAGCACGACTTGGATTGATCCCTCCAAAGACTTGAGTGCAGCTGGTAAGGTGTGCATGAAGATTCGAGGATGTGCCAAGCTCATAACGGGAATCGTAGATTTTGAACGGCTTGCCACGTCAGAGCTCCAGCTGGTGAAATACGAAGTGGGCCAGGAGTATAAGGCTCACTATGACGGTCGCATGCTGCCAGACGGCACGCTTGAAGCTCGTGGGACGTTCCTTGTGTACCTGAATGATGGCTTCGAGGGTGGGGAGACGTACTTTCCAAACGTAGGCATCAAGGTATGTTCTGCTATTGAAGGGATTGTGACCACGGAGAGGGGACAGGGGAGAGAGATTGGAGAGAGGGATTGGAGAGAGAGGGATGGTTGAAGGAGGAGAGGGATGGGGTGACAGTTGAGGATGAAATGAGTGAAGGTGCTTCCTTGTCTGATTGTTAACAATCCACGTTTTTTCTCTCTGCAGGTGAAGCCAGAGAGAGGGAAAGCTATTCTCTGGTACACACATTTGACAGATCAAGGCATTGAAGATAATAGGTCCAAGCATGCAGGGTTACCAGTCAAGAGGGGAGAAAAATACTTATGCACACAGTGGTTCAGTCTCCCTGCTTAGGAACGAAGTAGAACTGTTCACGTAGCATACCATATCGGCATTTAGCTTTTTGAGTAGAGGCCCTATTGTTTTCCACCATGCAGTCAGCTTAGTATTTACCATGACTGCTATCATTACCTCTCAATTCTGCTGGCAGCGAGTATAATCAAAATTATTTTCTCACATGGAAAACACTGCAGATGAAATTTTCTCATATTCTCCTCAATATATAATAGCACGTAAGCAAATTAAGCTGAACATTTGTTCAGGACGTGGAGCACTCTAGGGAGTACAGATTCACCATTTTGACCTCGATTTCATTTCTCTGCAACCTCTCAGGCTCGGAAATCATCGCCCGAACCTCCCTTCCTTCAGTCGCGGGGGCCACAGCACTGCCAGCCTTACGCATTTTCGGGAATGGCGGTGCGCCAAATATTCGTCGTCGAACCGAGTGCGGTCGGGCAGGTGAAATCTATTATCTCATGCCTTCGAGTTTGTAGGAAAGCAACTCCGCTAGCGCGCAGCGGAGAACGTTTTGTCGGGCCCAGGAGACACGATAGGCTCGGGGGTAGTCAACGACGGATCCTTTCGCGTCGCTTCCTCAGGAGGACCCTCTGCGAGAATCCCTTCACCAGCAAAACCAGATTTCCCCGTGTTTGCGGTTTCAGTAGAGTTCGCGCAGTGCACCATACCAGCGCAGAGTTCCGATTTTTCGGAGCTGCTCGGGCAGCATCTGAGAAAACTTCTCTCCCTTTTCGTTCCTCCCTCCTGTGAGTGTTCCTCCACACAACCTCGTCCCTCTCCCTGCTGCTGTTGGTCCCCTCGCCTCGTCTCACCTACAAATCCGACGTCCAGCGGCAGTCTCATTTTCACAATAACAAAGCGAGTTTCTTACCGGTCTTATTGGTTTATCCGTTGTCCAGCATTTGGTCAGAGCTCTCGCAACCTTATTCTTTATCTAGTACCCGCGGTAGCTCGACTCTCTAGTGTTCAGATTCTCTTCGCTTCTTCCCTCCCATGGCTTGTTATGATTATCCCTCATTTGCTCAGGCTGTGGCCATCTGGGAGAAGCGCGGTACGCTGCTGCGGATGAAGGATTATGCACCGATCCGTGCATCTGCTGAGTACCCTACGATCGCTGAAATCTTTTGCCTTTGGAGGAAACGGGCTGCAGAGGTGCAGGAGCAGCGTCGTGCTCTGTTCTTCTCCCCAACTCACTATCCCACTGTCGAGGAGGCGGTCTCGTGGAGCACATCTTATGCGGACCAGGAAGAGCAGCAATCGGAAGCAGAGGTCGTAGAGGAGGTGGACTCGTGGAGCACGTCTTATGCGGACCAGGAAGAGCAGCAATCGGAAGCAGAGGTCGTAGAGGAGGTGGACTCGTGGAGCACGTCTTATGCGGACCAGGAAGAGCAGCTAGCTGAAGCAAAGGTCGTAGAGTTGGTGCTCCCGCTGCTTGATGCTTCAGAGGGCGAGGGCTCGGGGGATGATTTCGATCTGAGCAGCAGTGACGCCAGGATCTTCGGTTCTGAAGCCTCTACCATGAGCAGCGGCTTCAGTGACAGCAGCAGCAGCGGCCAGAGCTCCCAGGAGGAGCCTTCCACTGCTAGTGCTGTCAACAGCCTCTGCTGCAGCAACTACAGGTTCAACTGCTACAACACTTACAGCAAGCAGTACAGTGACAGTTCGTTGCTGCTTGATCTGGTGCTTCTGCTGGTTTCGTTTACAGTGAGTAAGAACGTGGTAACTGCTGTGCATCTGGCATCACGGATGGGTCTACTAGGTGCAGACCAGAGGTTGGTCAGGGGAACGCCTGCAGCCAGTTGGAGACTGCTCCCTACTCGGCGTCTCCAGCCTGGCAGCACGCGAGCAGCGGATGTCAAGGCAGTTGTTGTCGGCGTCTCCAGCACGAGCAGCAGCTTCAGTGACAGCAGCAGCGGCGCCCAGAGCTCCCAGGAGGATGTCAAGGCAGGTGTTGTGGAAACAACGGTGCTGACTGCAGGAGTGAAGGCAGTTCTGGTGGAGAAAATGCTGGTGATTGCGTCTGGCGTGAGAGGTGGAGATAAGGCAGAGCCGTCAAGTGCATTGGCTGCTCCTGGTGAAGGTTTTAAGAAGGTGTCAGGAGCAGCGGCACAGGACAAAAAGCAGAAGGAACAGGTTAGATGTGTGGGATGTGGAGAGAGAAATATGTCTTCAGGATCACTGGTCGCTCATCCTGGGCGGGGTCTCAGGAAAGAGACAGCTGCACCGCAGAGCAAGAGGCAGGCACGTCGGGTTGGGGATGCGAAATCTGGAGTGAGGGAAGCAGTTTCTAGATTGCCGGTTGCTCTTCCTGGTGGGGGTCTCAGGGCTGGGTCAGCTGCAGTTCAGGGCAAGAGGCAGGAAGGAAGAGTAAGAGGTGCGGAATATGGAGTGAGGGAAGTAGTTTCTGTAGCATTGGTTGCTCTTTCAGGTGGAGCTCTCAGTGAAGGCTCAGCAGCACTGAGAAAGAAGCAACAGGAAAAAGTCATATGCAGGAGAGTAGGAGCTTGCAGGGGTGCGTCAAGTATGGCAAGGGTGGCGGCAATAAGGCCTCCATGGAGGCCCTAAGGGATGCTGTAGGGACTTCAACTGGAAGGGAAACTGATTAGATGTACCGTAGCTATGTACAATAAGTTTCATGTTCTATTTATTATAGCCATTGAGGTAATAGTTCATTTCAGTTACAATTGTACCTCACATACTTGGCATCATGGCAAAAAAACTTGCAAGCTCTTTTTGGAAACAAGAAAATACAAGTTTAGATGCTGATATTCTGTTACTATGGTACATCTGACCAATGATTAGCTTTATGGCCTGTGTGAAACCTTTGGATTGGATGGTCCCTGACAGCACATTCCAATCAGCAATTTGTATGCATCTATGTCGACATTCGGTTTAATGGCAATTTTGTTGCCATGTGACCCTTTGCTGCCACAACAGATGAGACAAATCAGGTAGGTGGGTGAATAACAGGACTACTGGAGCAGGGCGCATGAACCTGCACATGGAAAGAAAATGGAAAGACAAGATGGGGATGAGGATGGTAAGGAACAGACCAACCTCTACAGACCTAGGTAAGCAGCAGACCAATGACAGAAAACGAGAGGAGGAGCGCAGGAACATGACAGAATATCAACCTCAAAACAAATTTTCCATTCTACTCCTTCAACCCCCAGCCAGCACTCCCGTTAACTCATTGCCACTTGACTAACATGGAGCAATGACATGGAGGGCTCAGCATGGTTGATGGCAATTCGGCCAGCAGGTGATGGAGCAATGACATGGAGGGTTCTGAAGGGTTCAGCATGGATGAGCATGGATGAGCATGGATGAGCATGTATATGACAGCCATCATGAGAGGTTATGACTTGGCTGATGCGCCCTCACTGGGCGGGTGAGACTGAGATGATGAGCAACCAGCAGCAGGGCAGCCGGTGCAGGCCTCTCTCAGATGATGACCTGCCAGCAGCAGGCCTGAAAGAATGGGTGGAAAGACGGGAGGGGAGGGAGGTGTGAGAAGAGAGAGGAGGGAAGCGGGGAGGTGGACAGGGAGAGAAGAGAACGACCTGAATCTCATCAGCTCAAGATTATCAGCGCATACCAGACGGTCTTCAATTCACACCTGAAGGTCTTCAGGTCACAGCTGAAGGTCTTCGAATTACACCTGAAGGTCTTCAAATGACACCTGACGGTCTTCAAGTCACACCTGAAGGCCTTCAGATCAAACCTGAAGCTCATCAGCAAGGAAGGAGCCGAGGCGAGTCAGGGCTAACCTCAGGTGACTCACAGATTTGATTTCCTCATTGTCCTGAGGGAAAGCAAGTGCGGGGTGGGGCTGGGATGCCAGGTACTGCCGGGTGGAAGTGTCGCAGCCCCTGAGGCTCAAAAGGTCACCTGAGGCTCAAAAGGTCACCTGAGGCTCAAAAGGTCACCTGAGGCTCATAAAAAAACAGACGGAAAGGACGCGCGGGAGCGGCTGGGAGGCCAGGTGCTGCTGGGTGAAAGTGTCCCAGCCCCTTCCTGAGGCTACCAGAGTACCTTCAATGCGTGGAAACGAGTAGAGGGGGACAAGTTACCTTCACTGTGTGGATGGGGAGCAGAAGGCAATAAGAGGGCAGAAACGAGTAGAATTAGGCCACTTGTATAGTGGAGATAAAAGGAGGAAGGAAGTGCCTAAGATACAATGACGTTGACCGTGAGAGCATTGAGAATCTTATGCTATCACGAGTTGAATGACACCGCTGAAGCTTATATGAACGCACCTGACCTGAGCACACCTGGAGCTGATCAGAGCACACCTGAAGTGTTTTGAAGCACACCTGGAGCTGATCAGAGCACACCTGAAGTGTTTTGAAGCACACCTGGAGCTGATCAGAGCACACCTGAAGTGTTTTGAAGCACACCTGGAGCTGATCAGAGCACACCTGAAGTGTTTTGAAGCACACCTGGAGCTGATCAGAGCACACCTGAAGTGTTTTGAAGCACACCTGGAGCTGATCAGAGCACACCTGAAGTGTTTTGAAGCATACCTGGAGCTGATCAGAGCACACCTGAAGTGTTTTGAAGCACACCTGGAGCTGATCAGAGCACACCCCAAAGCATGAACAGCTGAAGCTCATGGAAACTCATCTATGATTCATGAAACTCGCCTGAGGCTCATCGAAACTCAGCTGAGGCTCATGGAAAACTGACCTGCGGCTCATGACAACTCACCTGAAGCTCATGAAACTCTCGTGAAGCTCGTGAAACTCACCTGAAGCTCACGAAACTCACCTGATGCTCATGAAACACACCTGAAGCTAATGAAACTCACCTGAAGCGCACCAGCAGGAATGGAACCAAGGCGAGTCAGGGATTCCTTCGGGTCACTCGCACATTTGACAACCGACTCGTACTCTCTCCTGCTGCCAGCACAGTCACCTGCAATGCAACAAGTCACGACAAACATGAGGCGGATTGCAGGAGAATGTAACCCATCAGGAGTGATCATGCCACAATACAAGGACAAAAGGTGCCCTCCGCTTCTGCCAGCACTGCTGCTTGCGGCGAATAACCCGTGAAATAATGGTCTTGGGCAAAACACAAGAAAGAAACGCGCAGTCTGCTGCTGCCAGCACTGACTGTCATCTGCGGTGAATGTTCTGCTCTTCTTCCCTGAAGGAGTTACAAACAACGCATGCATGAAAACCAAAGCGCTCCCCTTTTTTTTCCATCCTTCCGTCTTCACACAAAGAGAAAATTTGACCTGCAGCACTCATAGATGCAATGCTTCAAAATGCTGCTTACCTTGTGAGTGAGAATCAGACTAGGCCCACCCTTGGACCAGTCCACTTGAATCAGTCTTGTAAGCTCGGTCGGCTTACGAGTCGACTCAGCTCACGATTCGACTCATTTCCACATGGGGCGAAGTTTCGCTGCACTTTCCACAGAGTAGCTACCCCTCTCTCTGGCTTGACCTCCAAACGGAATGCGCTGCGCCGTGGCTTCTTAGACCTTAAAACCAAGACAATGAAGCATGCCTATCCAACCATTTCATCCCACATTCTCCTCAGCTGCCTGCCTGCCTCCCTGTCCCATACCGCTCATGGAAAGATACCTCTGATGAGCCAATCAGAACAACTATGAGCTTAGCAAAGCACACCTGAAGCTCATCCGAACCGAACCCACCTCAAGATCATGAAAACTCACATGAAGCTCATGAAAACACAGCGATTTAGGGCTTCCCTCAGGTCACTCAAAGATTAGATTTGCCCTCTGCTACTGCCAGCTCGGTCGCCTGCGAAAATTCAAAACAGAAAAGAGGCGAATTGCTGTTAAGATTGATGTCGTAAGAAGGACGGAACCACTCTTTGCTGCTACCAGCAGTGTCACTCGCGGTGTGAGTTGGGACACTTGTGAGGGATGAGACTGGATAACACGTAAAGCAATACTCTTGGACATAATACACGGAACGGAAGAAACATGCAATCCGCTGCTGCCTGCACTGTCACCTGCGGTGAGTGAATCTGCTCTTCCTCCCTGAAGCACTTACAAAGAAACAAACCATGCAAGAAAACCGAAGTGCTGCCCATTTTTCCATCCCTATCACAAAGGCAAAGAATGTTACCAACCAGCAGCACTCGTAGACGCAGAAATCTGGGAATGCTTCTTACCAGGTCACGACGAATCTGACTTGCCTCACAATTCGACTCCGCTCCATATGGGAAGAAGTCTCGCTGCACTTTCCACAGAACAGCTAACCCTTACTCTCGCTTGACAAACAGAAAAGTAAGGTGGCTTATTCGCTCCTCTCACCATTCGATTGTTCTATCCCACATCCTCCTCAGCTGTCAGCCTCCCTGTCCCTCACAGCACCACTGTGAAGTACCCCCTCTCCTCTCTCAACCATTCCCCCCCCTTTTGACTCCATCCCATATCTCCTCTTCCCTCTCCCTCTCCCCTCTCCCTCTCCCCTCTCCCTCTCCCTCTCCCCTCTCCCTCTCCCTCTCCCCTCGCCCTCTCCCCTCTCCCACTCCCCTCTCCCTCCCATCTCCCTATCCCCTCTCCCTCGTCCTCACTCCCATTGATCACAGAATGTACCTTGATGCCTGCCTGCCGGCCTCAGCGTACCTTGATGATTTACCTTCAATGCCTGCCTGCCGGCCTGCCTTCCTCAGCATACACCGCATCCCACCCCACTGCATCTACAGCTTTTCTTCCGTAGGCTGTAAGGGCCATGACAGGGGGCAGGCAGCTGGGGAGAATATCCGAGCACCGTTTCTGATGGATGGGCGTGAGGGGAGTGAAAAGGAGGACATGGGAGAGAGAACAGCGAGGTGAACAAACAGCGGGAGCAACCTTTCCGTTCATTTATGGCGGCTGGAATCAAGAGAAAAGAAGACGAAGAGACGGAGGAAGGGAATGAGGAAGAAAACCGGAAGAGACGGAGGAAGGAAATGAGAAAACATCAGAAGAACGGAATGAGGAAGAAAGCGTGGAAGGAGAAAGCGGAAGTGAGTGAGCGGCAGGGAATAGATGGGAAAGGAGAAGAGGGACAGATGGACACTTGGGGTGCAGCCTGCGAGGAAAGCACTTCATGGAATATCCGAACAAACGAAAACAGCAACAACTGCGAGAATTACTTGTTCTAGTGCGTGAAATCGAGAATAACAACTAACGCGGGAGAAAGAATCAAACAACTGTTGGTCTCACAGAGTACAGCACTGTAGAGAAAACGCGGTACCTTGCAAGATGTAGTGAAGGCCCTTCGGGGAACTCGCATTTATTAGAATCCTCAAAAGCATCAACGCGATTCGCGACTCGGTCCAGATCCCGTTGAAACCGTCTAGCCGTCTAGAAGTGTGCTTTTTTAACGTCTATCCGTCTCTGGAATCTATCCTCAAGGCGGCGGCGGAGCGTACGAGCGCATGCGGGAGGCGCAAAAGCCGCCGCTTCCGCCGATTCTTCTGCCTCGCAATGAAGCCG